ATTTCGACGCGCCCTGCGGCCATTCACCGTTCCTCAAAAGCCTCCCCATTTATTGCGCTTTTTATTTCGCACTTTTCTTTTATTTTTAGGACATTTTTGCGGATGACGTTAGAGTCTACACACAACTGAGAGTGTGCAGAGAGGGCCAGAGGGAAATTTGGAGAAATTTTTTGACAATTACCATAGTAGAATCCGTGAATTTTTGACCTCATCGGACAACGTGGCTCCAGAGAAAGTTCAAGTAAAATGGCTTCAAGTCAGCTCTTAATTGGGTGTGAAAACACTCCGAGCGGACTTGTTCTCGCCAAAACGATGACGTCATTGTAATGGGTAGATGTTAGCGCGGGGTAATACGTCATTATCCCGTAATATTGACGGTCATGGGATCAATTTGGGGTTTTAGGCAATTTTAGAGGGTAAATATGCACTTTAACGTCACATATAGCAATTCACAGTATTCTGCATTTCATCATCAATAGTTTATAGTGCTTCAATTACCATGTCGTATTTGAAAATCGCGATTTTTTGATAAATTTTTGTTATCAGACCTCGTTTTGCAATCGTTGATGTTTGTGATGAAATTTATGCAAATTAACGTATGATTTTTTTAATTTTCTTATTTTCCTATACCTTATGGCTTGTAATACTATTGTTGTGTCCTATTTACAACATGTTTGATATCTAAAAAATCGATTTTTTTGCCTTCTTCCTTATTGTACTGTTTTTTGATGACTATGATGTTTTATGCAAATTTCTTCCAGTTTAAAATAGTTTAATCATGCCCTTACTGCATAGTAAGCTCATCATGGCTTCTTAGTTTAGATCTGTATGTTCACCGCTTACAATTTTTATCAAAACCGAGATTTTTTGTACTTTTACCTTACTTTAGTCCACCTTGATACTCATGATGAAATTTATGCAAATTTCAGCATTTTGCAGGCTTTTTTGGTTAGTTTTTTACGGCTTTGTATATTTTTCAATGCTCTGGCTTTCATTTTGTGACACTTGCAATATCTTTTCGACATATAAATTGGCATTTTTTGACGATTTTATATTACTTTAGTCACTTTATTGCCTACTGTAAGATTTATTCAAATTTCTGCACTATCCCTTATTTCTTTTGCGCTTCTTTGCCATCCTGCTGCATCACCAATGTCCCCTCTACCATACCTTCACATTTATGACCCCTCGCTCGCCGCGATTCTTCCGGTATTCGGGCGGCGACCGAAACCATAATATAATATAGGTGAAGAGGTGGGGGGAGAGTTGAGAGTGGAGCCCTGCTCTTCGGGCAGGGGTCTCCTCTCCTCCTTTTTTCTTCTTCTTCTTGTCATCGAATGCCCCACGGTATAAGGCAAGGTTTGTTTGCACAGTTTCATGTGCGCGGCGACCGAGGCAAGGGGCGCAACGGCCAAACGACCCCACCCGCCGTGGATTTGAAGCGGGACGGAGGGAAGGCAGAGGGACAAGCCGAAGGGACCGTTGAGGGGATTACGTGAACTATGACTCGTTGAAGAGCGGAAGAGTCATAAACCCGGATATTTTGAGGGAAATTTCAAAAAATCTAAAATTTAAGTCAAAATTTTTTTGTCGTATAAAATGTCCACTAAACCGAATTTTGCGTAGAAAATGTGGAGATTACCTACAAAAATTACATTTTTTTCATAAAATTTCCAAAATTACCGTAGTTTTCCAATGATTCTTGCAAAAAATCTCAAAATACATTTCATCGTATAACATTTCGATTAAGACATGTTGTGATAAAAGATTTGACATTTAGATTCTAAATGCCCTCAGAGAGGTAGGCGCATGGAAAAATGTCGGATTTTACCAATGATTTTAAGTTAAAATCGCAAAAAATCTCAAAACGCATTTCATAGTATAACATGTCGACTATATCAAGTTGGGATAAAAAATACTAAATTTAGCTCCTAAATGCCCTCAGAAAGGTAGGTGCATGGAGAACTGACGTATTTTACCAATGATTTTAAGATAAAATGGCAAAAAATCTCAAAACACATTTCATCGTATAACATGTCCGAGAACTTACAATTTAGATAAAGAATGTTTGTCAAATGTTCTGGGCGCCCTATTTTTGCGAAATCGTGAAAACAACCCCGTATTTTACAATTGAAATTTGCATAAACAACATTTTGTCGTATAAAATGTCAACTTTCAAGGTTTTTACTCAAAATTTTGCGACATTCTACGTTTCTGAGACCAAACTCGACTTCAGAAGGGTATCAGGTTGCCGTTGACTTCCTAAATCTGCAAAATTTCTTTTTTTGATTTTTTCATTTTGCCGATTTTTCGGTTCAAAAAAACCGCCGCCATTCCGTTTTTTGTTTGCACACCTTGATGGCAACGGTGGGTACGGAAGGCGGAAGAAGCGGTTTTTCGGGCGCAAATGACAGCATGTTCAAAATAATTTGAATTTCGAAAGGTTTGGGAGGTTAAAAAAAATTTTCATAAGTTCGAAAAAACTTGAAATATTCAAATTAAAACATAGCAAGAGTAAGAATGACGTATTTTAAAATCATTTTTAGACAAATTCCTTCGTATTTAGCCAAAAAACCAAACATTTACATCGCAAAATCACCTAATTTTTGGCCTACCTTACATCAGCTCTCATGGATAATATAAAAATTCTCGGCAAATCACGCGAGCCCCGCATGATGATTGAAAATGGACACCAGCTATCGTATTTCACAACCACTCACCGCACGGACAGAGTAATTGGCGGCGAAACGGGAGAATAATTGGCGAAAGGGGGGATTAAAAAGCCAGCGAATCAAGTGTGCCGAAGAGGAATTAGTGCGGAGTTTGCGGGGTAAATGGCTTATTAGGGACTGTGGTTACTGTAGTTGCGTTTTTGGATAGATGGGACAGGAAGTTACTGGGTGAAAATTAATATTTTGGCCATGATATAGGTAGAACTTTCACAAAATCATCAAAAATGTTTGTAATTACATATAAAATGGTCCAAAAACACTCGGTGCGACGTATTTTACCTAAGCTTTTCTCTATTTTTGTTAGCGACAAGTGATACGATGAAACCTGCTCAAGTCCAAATTCCGACCTGCGCCCTAGAATAGTCTCAATACAGTATTTTTTTTTGATTAGAAATACTGTATAAAACTGTTTCCAATCATTTCCATTAACTTGCGACAAGTTATACGGTGAAACCTGCATAAGTCCAAATTCCGACCTGCACCCTAGGATAGCCTCAATAAAATATTTTTTTGACCAGAAATACTGTCTAAACCCTTCTGGGATTGATTTTCTACCATTTCCACTTATTAGCGACAAGTTATACGATGAAACATGTATGAAGTTTAAACCGCAAGCTGCGCCCTAGAAAGCAGATAAAAATGCCAAAACAGTAATTTATGCACTTTATCAAGGTTAGTGAGACGCTACAAACATCTCAGAACACAAGCCAACGTATTTTAAACCCCCTTTTTCGATAATTTTGTCTTGTTCCTCACGTCGCTCCGAATGCAGGTCTCCGTGCTTCTCACGGGACCATAATAACTGTGACAGCGCTACAGTCTCTCGCTCGCTTGGACGTTTTGCGGCTGGCCCGCATCTTTCTGTTTCGCGTTCTTCTGGCCGCACAAAAATAATATATCGGTCGCGGGGTTTTGGGCTGTTGTGCTCCATCCCCCCTTCTTCTCCATCGGTCCATGGACTAGTTTTTATTATATTATTCCATCCACTTTCTTTTCCGTGCGTTTTTGATTCGATTATCGATTGTGGCCTCATGGCCGGAGGGGAAGTTGCGGTTTAATGGGTCATTAGTGGTAGTTATGTTAATTTTAGGGTAGTATTTTGTTATTGACTATGTTAAACATGGCCTGAAAGACACTGATGAGAACAAGAGATCAATTTTACGCAACATTCCGGGCATTGCGACACTTTATACGACGAAAAATTAAATATGCTATAGCGCAGGCTGCGCCATATAATCTAACTGTTAAATATATCGTCTACTTTGGAAAAAGTCTCTATATTTTTGCCTTATTAAGGTTTTGCTCGAATACCAGGTTGTCGACAAGTTATACGATAAAACCTTTCAATTTGATAATCGGCAAGCTGCGCCCTAATAATTTATGAACGATGTCACTATTTGCACTAATAGTTATCCCTGGGTGACTTTTTAACCTTCGAGTTTGTCAATTTATAAAAATGTGACAGAATTGACATGTTGTTATACGACAAATCGTGTTCAAAGGAAAGATCGCAAGCTGCGCCCTAGAAATAAATCCAAAATTTTCTTAATTACACCAGTGGTGTCCAAGATGTTGTTTGATGCCACTAGCCGGTCAATTTCGTTACCCAGTACCTCTAAAATCCATATAAAGTAATTCTTTTCCCCTCCGGAGCCCCCCAAAGAACCCGCGCATTTGTGGTTGGGCGCTCTTTTTAGAGACCGACCGTAGAAAGGAAGACGAAGAGAATTGGGAAGGCGGGTGACCGGATCGGGATTCAGAAGGGAGGCACACGTCCCCTCCATCCTCTCGCCGTCTTCCGAATTCTCCGAAGCGACAGGGGGGCTCGAATTTTTGAGACCCCGTTTTTTACCTTAAGGCAATTTTATCGATTGGTTTTTTGACATCCCCAACATGCCGGAGGGCATGAATGGAATGTCAAAAGGGAAGGGAGTCCCTACAATTTTAGGTTACATCAATAACGAACGGGAAAAATGAGATTTTTGCGGCAAAACCCCGTATTTTCCTCAAATTTTTGAGATTTTTCAATATTTCTCAATATTTTATGAATTTTTATGATGGCTGAATAAATTCTACAGCATCTGCTATGGTCCACAATAATTTTTCATCGCGATTTTTTCGAGATTTTTTCATTTTTACTCCAAAAATTTTTCATCGTATAAAATGTCCGCATTCCAGGTCACGCTTCATATTGTTGGACAAAAACTTGGGAACGTCATTACTGAGTAGTGAGACGATATTTAAGCTCTAATTCAGCCAAGGCTGGCTATGAATCCAAACCAGCCGAACACTTCCCCAATGGCCAATTCTCTGCAAGCGTTGAGCGGCACGGCGCTGCCCATACTGAATAACCTTCAAATCTCGTCCACAGCCAACGCCGCAGCCATGCTGGAGAGCAGCAATCTGTATTCGAATGGGGTAAGTTTGAAATTTCAGCGAGAATTTTTGGAAAAATTTTGAAAAATTAAAAAAAAAACATTGTAAAATACGTCGTAATGAATCAGGTCGGACATCAAAAAATTTTTTTTTGATGTCAAAAAATTTATTTTGGAGTAATTTTCCCCAAATTCGCACTGCACAGTGCAAAAAATTAAAAAAATTGACTGCACCGTGCGAAAAATCAAAAAAATCTTGCACAGTGCAGCTGCGACAGTCAAAACGAAAAATTTTTGCCGCACAGTGCACACGCGACAAAACTGAGTATTTTGCACAGTGCAAGCGGCGACAAAAGTTTTCGCACCGTGCAAACGCGACAAAATGAAAAATTCTGCACTGTGCAGTGAGAAAAAAGCTGATTTCACTGCACTGTGCAGTAAAAAGGCTATTTTCACTGCACAGTGCAAAGAAAAAAGGCTATTTTCACTGCACAGTGCAATGAAAAAAGGCTGATTCCACTGCACAGTGCAATAAAAAAAGATAATTCCACTGCACAGTGCAATGAAAAAGAAGTGTTTTTTGATTGATAAGAGCTTGAAAAATGACAAAATTTCGGTCAAAAAAGTGCAACCTCTCATTGAAATACCCAACCGATGAACTGCTAGCCCAGCCGCCCCTTCCTCCCTTTCTTATTTATCTTTTACAAATATTTGTTGTAGCTCTCTTTACACAAGTTTTTCGTATGTTTGCTGTAAATGTTTATATTTAACCGTGTTTTAAATTTCGTCCCCGCCCCTTCGGCGGTGCGGTTTATTTGCAAATGTATACGACGGGGCTTGGACGAAATGAAATAGGAAAAATTTTTTGAAAAGTGAGAAGTTTGAAAAAAATATTTATATTAACAATAATCTAATACCTAAATGACACAAAAAATGTCTTTATGGTGTTCTAAAAATGACAAACGCTTTAGCAAACCTCTTTTCATGGCACCCATGCCCTTTTTTGGAACTAAAAAAAAGTCTTTTTCGCACAGTGCGATGAAATTTTTAAATCGATAAATTTTTTACCATCTTTTTTCAACTAGACTAAAGTTATGTTAGATGGATGTTTAGCCTCCCAAATAGCCTCAATTTATCCCATCAACCTCTAATTTATCTTATTTTAGACATTAGAAAAACCGATTTTATTATTGCATCTGCACGGTGCAATCAAAATTCAAAATCGTGTTTTTTTCGAATTTCTCAATGAAAAATGAAGACACAAGAAAATAAGACGTATTTTAAATACAATTATCTTCTAACTAAGACAATAAAAATTTAGAAATACCTTATTTTAGCCTCTAAAATACGATGTTTTACTTTTGTCAACGCACTGTGCGGATTTTTGAAAATCTTTTTTTCTTTATTATCGCTAGTAAAAAAAGTGTGGCACCAAATTTTAATCAGCACCTTTTCCTGAGCCTGCAAATTTTGGCTCTTTCTCGCCCTTTAAAGCAATTTTATTTGAAAAAATTCCGGGTGGAAAGTGACCAGCCCACTTTCGCCCAAGAAGAGCGGTTGATAACTCGCTCCACTATCGCCGCCGATGCCCGACACGGTGTCAGGCATTCGAAAAAACACCAGTTATCTTATCAGCGGTCAGTTTTTGGAGGGACCTTTCCCAGAACGGATCTTCGGCTGGGTTAAAAGCCCGTTTTCAAGTGCCTGTCCCATTTTCCAACTAAAAGTTTTGACCTCAATCTTAAGACTAGACCTTTTTAGAGGTTCTATGATTATTAAAAGCCCAGTTTTCTTACTGTATTTTCCAAAAAATCCATTTTTTGGCCAATCCTTTGACCTCACAAAAATCCCGAGGAATTAGGATATTACGCGACTTTACGACCGCAATATTTTCTTTTGCGCAAGCCTTTTGTCGCATTAGATCTTACCGCACGCATAAATGGCAATAAAATTCATATTCCTTCATGGAAACATCTCCGTAATAATACATGTTACCGTAATCAAGTTTTTATAGGTTTACGGAACCCACCGTGTCGTATTTTACATCCTACATGGCAATTTTCCTTCATTTAGAGTTTTAGAATAGTATTTAACGTTTTTTATTCCAAAAATTTGAAAAAGCGACGTTTTATACGATGAAATGTGCTTGGACATGTTACTTCGTATAACTTGTCGCTTTTTGGGAATTTTTGATTAAACATATTTGCGCATGATTTTAAATAAAAACAAACATTTTGGGACTCCGTATTTTACGCTTTCTGCTTGAACTTTTGATGCAAATTTGATCAAAAACATTGTTTTACCCATCAAATCCAAATTTTTCCAAAAAACCCATCTTTCTCCAATTTTTCTGCAAAGTTGCATGTCATATGCCGCCGATAGGTCTTAATCATAAAAATGAGTCGATCGCCGCTTGCTCATGGGCCAGTTATCATGCGAATATTGTTATTGAGGTTATCAGTTCGGGGGTCTTAGCGGGAAGTGGCGATTCATCGGCGAGGGAGTTTGAGCGCCCTTTCGGAGGGGGGAATTATGAATTGTGGAGGGCAATCTATGCTTTCTTTTTGGTTCTAATCACTGTTAGGGGTGGTGGCGACGATTTTGAGGGTAAATTTTGATTTTGACCGGTTTTTGGGGTTTTAAAGGACTTGTCGTATAAAATGTCACTTCACTTTTGATTTTTGAAGTCTGAGAGGTTTGTAGAGGCATAGGCTACTATCTAAAAACAGCAGGGTATGCTTTTACACGCTTACGGAGCTTTTATATTACTTTAGTGATCAAGATCAAATTCTTCGTATAAAATGTCGCCCAACATGAATTTTCCCCCATTTTTGAACTCCAGCTATTCTACAACCTACAGAGGTTGTTTTGCACCAAAAACTTCCTATTTCCTATATTGCTTTACCGTGTTCAAGCTATCAAAACTTCTCTTCGTATAAAACGTCCCCTTCCTCCGTCTCCGATCTCTGATTTCCATAACAAGCGCGAACCCGCTCCCCAACTGTTGCAGGACCGAAAATAACCGCCTGAAGTCGGGGTAGGCTGAAAGCCATTGGGCGGATAAGAATAGAAACACTCGCCGCGCGCATTTTACGGTCCTTTTTTTCTTTTCACGTCCGATTGCGCAATAATGGATTGGGGCGACCGTATCGTGTTCGAATGGGGAGTCCCATTCCGTCTTCTGTGGGGGTTATGCTGTGGTCCCCATTGTTCTCGGCGACATTGTATGGGCGGTAATAGAGTTTTCCGAAGGGGTTTGCGCTGCAAAACTAATGAAAAAGGGGAAGAGTGGGCGGATTTTCCGGAATTTTGGGGTTAGAGAAAATCATTGTGATCTGACAATGATCTCAGCGATTTTTTGGCCTAATTGACGGTATAATTATGTGGAAAAAACGGTAAATTTTAGGCTAGTCATCAGCTATGATGGGTAATATAATTTTGATCTGAAAAAATAATTTTTTTGTAAATTTCTGGTAGAAAACTGTTGAATTATCAAGTAAAAGGCCTTATTTTTTAATTGAGGGAGGTTTTTCATGCCGAGACTTATGAAAGTTGCATAAAATCGTAATTTTTTGAAATTTTAGACCAATCTGCCCGATTTTTTTGCTTTTTTGGGTTTTTTTTGAATCGTTAATCTCAAAAATAGCTTATATGCAAATAATAGTCTATGTCACACTTTTATCTAACTGTTTTTTAATGTAAAATACGCATTGTATAACATTTTTTTCATTTTTGTCCCAAAAACCGCAAAAAATCTGAATTTTTTGTCAAATTTGGTGATTTGACCTTTGCCTTTGACTTTCTTTGACTTGTAATAGGCCTCAACTAGTCTCTATTTTCCAACCAAAAGATTTGCCGACAAGAAACATAAAGCTTTCCTCAAAATTTTATATTATCCATCATAATGGCGGCCATTAATCTCATTAGCCCCACCCATCTCTCCTCACTTTCGCCCTGATGCGTAATTTCGTCTTATTCCGGCGGCGTGAAGCATCATAAACCTTTTGGAATCACGACCAGCGTTTTTTATCGCTTTTCCCTCTCCGCCAATCGAAGGGGAAGAGGGGGGCCTGACTCATGCAAGCCCCATCGAAAATCGTCTCGCCCTTCGCTTTTTTCCCGACTTTTTCCGTCCGTCCTGAATTCCGTTGGGCCAAAAGTCGGCGAGTTTTGGAATGAGTTAGTCATTCCGTGGCTACGTTGTCGCTGATTGGCCGAATTCGGCGATCAGCCAATCAGCGGGCCGCTCGCAATGGCACGGAGAGATTTGAGGATTACAGGATTTTGAGAGTGTGGATTAGCGATTTTCTGACGGAATATGAGAGAATAGAGCGTTAGCGATATGCTATGATGATTTTTTAACCTTTGGGATTTTGTAAAATACGAGTTTTTTAAGTCTCGCTGAGACAGGTCGAAATTGAAAAATTGGTAAAATTTTGGCAAACGTTGTATTTTAAACAAACATAAAATGTTTTCCGACTAATTTTCATGACATTTATGGCCTCAGGGCATCTTATTTAGTTGTAATTTGATTGAAAAATTACGAAAAATCTCAAATTTTGCTTTTTTCATCGAAAAATAGGCTTTTATTGTAAGATACGACCAACTTTTCTATTAAAAAATACTTGAAACATACTCCTCTATACTCCAGGAGTCACTTGGAGCATTTTAAATGCTATTTAATCGCATAATTTTTTATATTTTTCTCAAAATTTTTGTAAAATTTTGCTTTTTCTCTCATTTCCTCAAATTTTTTAGTTTCAAACCATGTCGAGTGCGGACTATGCGAACCAAATGATGTCCACATACACTGCGCCCGGCATCAACTACCCTCAATACGCGTACAGCACCAATCTGGCGAACGCGACCTTGTACGGCCAAAACTATGACAACTATGCGGCCGGAACGGTGGCGGCGCTGCAACAGGCCGGAGTGGCGTATAATTTCAATATGGGACAGTTGAGTGACACGTCGTCGGTGCCGCAGAGCAGTTCGCCGTTGGAGGAGGAGTTGAGCAGCAGCTCGAGGGGCAATGGCGGAGGTCGGGGAAGACGGAACAGAGAGGATGGAACTGTTACTTTCACACATCAGGAGTTGGTGAGTTGAACTTTATTTTTGCTATTAGGTAGACAAGCCCTTAGGCTATCAAATTTCCAAAAATGGAGGGTTTTAATTCACTTGGCCAAAAGCTATGGCTCATTTTCTAAGATCAAGATTTTTAAAACCTTGAAAGGTAAAAGTTACTATTTAAGACTCTCAAGTAGTAAAAAACTTTAATTTATTTCTTTCTGGTGAACGCAAAGTCCTTGGACTGTTATTCTTCCAAAAATCAGTTTAGCAGATAGGCTTGGCCAAAAGTTATGGCCAATTTTCTAAAACAAAGATTTTTGCTACCCTGAGAAGTAAAAGTTACTATTTAAGACCCTTATATAGCTAAAAAGGTGAACTCAATTTTTTGTGGTGATAGCAAAACCCTTAGGCTATATATTTTCTAAAAATCAGTTTGGCAGATGCCCGTCGCCAAAAGTTATGGCCAATCTTTTAAGACAAAGATTTTTAAAATATTGACAAAGTAAAAGTTACTATTTAGAACCGTTATATAGTAAAAAAAGTTAACTTTATTTTTTATGGTAGTTTAGCAGTCCTTAGGCTGTTTATATTCTAAAAACCATTTTGATAGTTGCACTTGGCCAAAAGTTATGGCCAATTTTTTAAAATTCAGGTTTTGTAATTTTTGAAAAGTTCAAATTACTATTTAACCCCTTAAACCTGTAAAAAATAGCAAAAAAAAATTACCGTTGTAAAATACGGCCTTTGCAATTATCTGCTTAGTGTATCTACTCAAAAAAACCTCAAAATTTCGATTCAAAACAGAATGCCAAAACTCCGCGGGAAATTCAAAAATTCCAACTCCGAACCGTCCCAACTCTCTAAAAAACGGATTGATTTTTGACGGGTGAAACTTTTTGCCCCCCAGAACCGTCATATTTATTTATTTTTGCGGTTATCAAAAAGATAAACTTGACAATGTTTGTCTATTTGTTTATTGTTTGACAAGTGATAATTAAGCAAACATTGATAGGTAAAAGGAGAGGAAACTGATCGACATTTTGTTTCTTTCGGGTGGGTTGCGGAATGAGCATGATTTTTTGGGGATTTTTTTGAAAAACTTTTTTTGACTTGCGATGAAAAAAAATGTTTTCTGCCGGGTTTTTGGGAAATTTGTCGAAGAAAAAATCAATTTTTTAGTGAAAAAACTTTGTTTTTTGTGGAAATTTTAACAAGGAAAGTACTTTTATGGGGGCTCCTACTTTTTGACGGGACATATCTCAAAAAATCAGAAAAAATGTGGTGCAAGGATATATAAATCTTAGCTGCCCATTTTAGGTTTTTAGGGGTGAAAACTCAATCGGAAGTTGACTTAAAGTCCTATATGAACCCCTTTTCGCTTAATTTTTCACAGGTTTACAATTTTTATTTTGGCTTAAAATGATGTTTATTGTGTTTCTAAGACGTAATAAATCAGTCTTGGCACAAAAATTTATTTTTCCGACCTTCAACTTCAAAAAAAGTTGATTCGGCCCAAAAGGGAAATCGAACCCGTGCGGCGTCCTCCCTCTTGATTCCCAGACTACGGCACTAACCACTCGGCCACATCGCTCTCTTCCGAAGGAAGAGACCGACTGCGCTTTTTAGCGTTTCGAATGCCTGCGCCTTTTGTAGGGAAATTAAGCCAGTTTTTGGGCATTTTCACCCCTAAAAACCCAAAATGGGCAGCTAAGATTTATATATCCTTGATCAGCACATTTTTTCTGATTTTTTGAGATATGTCCCGTCAAAAAGTAGGAGCCCCCATAAAAGTACTTTCCTTGTAAAAAAATTTGAAATTAAAAATTTTTTTTTAATTTTATAATCCATTTGCACTGTGCAGTCCATTTTTTCACTGCACAGTGCAGTTTTTTGCCGCTGCACTGTGCAGAAAAAAAATTTTTTTTTGCACAGTGCAAAATTTTTTTTTTGAACTTAAATTTTTTTTTTCGGCTTAAAATCTCGGTTATTTCTGCAAATCGCAGGCTAAAAATCTTGAATCTCCTTAAAAATTTTTATTTTTTTATTTTTTTTTTGAAATTTTTTGATTTTCAAAAAAAAAATTTGTTTTTGAAATTAAAAAAAATGTTTTAATTTTGATCCATTTGCACTGTGCAGTCCATTTTTTTCACTGCACAGTGCAGTTTTTTGCCGCTGCACTGTGCAGAAAAAAAATTTTTTTTGCACAGTGCAAATTTTTTTTTCGAAATTTTTCGGCTAAAAATCTCAAATATCCTCTCAAAAATTTATTTTATTATTTCTTTTGAGATTTTTTAATTTTCAAAAAAAAAATTTTTTTTTTCAATTCCCAATATTTTCAGCTCAAAATCCAAGGCCAGCCGGGCGGGAACTTCGGAAATCAGAAGCCTCCCTACTCCTACATTTCCCTCATTTCCATGGCCATCCAAGAAAGCGAGACGAAGCGAATGACGCTCTCCGAAATCTACAACTTCATCACCAAGTACTTCCCCTACTACGCCAACCACAACAACAAGTGCTCGTGGCAGAACTCGATCCGGCATTCGCTCAGCTTCAACGACTGCTTCGTGAAGATCCCGCGCACGCCCGACAAGCCGGGCAAAGGCAGCTTCTGGACGCTGCACGCGCTGTGCGGCAACATGTTCGAGAACGGCTGCTTTCTGCGGCGCCAAAAACGATTCAAGCTGCCGAACAAGGAGAGGGATGGAAGACGACGAAAGGACCGGAAAAGCCAACAGGAAAGGAATATGTATCAGCCGGATGTGAAGCAGGAAAATGAGGATGAAGTGAAGATGGAGGAGATGATCAAGAGTGAGGAACAACAGCAGGAACAGATGGTCAGTCCGAAGCATGAGGTGAGAAAAATTGTAAAAAAAACTTTTTTAGTCAAAAAATAGAAAAAAAAAATTTTTTTAGTCATAAAATAAAAACAAATTTTTTAGTCATAAAATAAAAAAAAAATTTTTTTAGTCAAAAAAAAATTTTTTTAGTCAAAAAATAGAAAAAAATTTTTTGGTCAAAAAAAAAAATTTTCTGGTCAAAAAATAAAAAAAAAATTTTTTTAGTCATAAAAGTTTTCGCACAGTGCAGTTAAAAAAATACACTGCAAACACGTCAAAAAAACAAAAAAAAAAAAAAAATTATTTTTGCACTGTGCATCCCTAAAAACCAGATTGAGTGAAATTTCTTTTCGCACGGTGCAAAACTCTTTGTCTCTTTTTGCTGCACAGTGCAGAAATTCAAAAAAAGAAACAAAAAAACGCACTGCACAGTGCAGACGATTAGGTTTTTTTTGCACTGTGCAAAAAGATGAGTTCTTTGTGCACTGTGCAAAAAATTCTCTTTTTTCTCTCTGCACAGTGCAAGAGAATCAAAAACAAGAAAAAAGAATCTGCACTGTGCAGTCTTCAGAATGGGACTGCACAGTGCAAATGGGTTAAAATTATCATCCACGGTGCGAACATGTTTTTTCAAAAAAAAATAAAAAATGAGATTTTTAGAAAAAAGATTTCCTCTGCACTGTGCGAAACTGAAAATTTCATTTTCGCACTGTGCCAAAAAAATCATCAGTTTTTTTGGGAATGCACAGTGCAATTATAATATTTTTGTCGTGTTCGCACAGTGCTGATTTTTTGTTGACTGCATTGTGCGGAAAAAAATAAAAAAAAAAAAAAAAAAAAAAATTGCAAAATTCAAAATTTTTTTTCTTAATTTTTTTGCAAATTGCACAAGCTCTTTCTAATCATCAATTTTTACCCTATTTTCCATTTCAGAACTCCCTGCAACAGCCCATTCCCACCTCCATCACACCCTCTATGCTCATCAACCAAGGAGGGCCTTCGCCCAGCTCCAACTCCACACACAACCAGTCGGAGAACCAGAACTCGTTCGAGATGTCCTCCAACTCGATCCCGATGAGCTCGCCGAACAACGAACAGACCACCGTCATCTCGTCGGTGGGGCAGTTCGCGATGCCGACGTACCAGTACAACAATTTCTCGAACATCTACCCCAACTCGGTGGACTTCCAGACGCAGCAGGCGTTGCAGCAGGTGGTGGGCGGGCAGAGTTTTAGTGTGAATCAGCTGGTCGACTCGCCGCTCGACTACTACGGACAGTATGGGCTGTTGAGCAAGCCGGCCGCGAATTACGCGTATTCGCAACATACAGTTTATAAGTAGGTTGAATTTTAATTTATTTTAGTGTATACAAGTCAAGGAACTTATATATCTTATAAATCTCGATTTGTCCAGAAAATGTGTCACGATGACACCTGTTTAAAATCTGTCAGTGAAATAAAAAATGGCTGTATATGACTGGGAATACTGCCTAGAGCACGCAAAAAAATAAAAAATCGTCGCTGCGATAAAAATCCAGAAAATCCGTCATCCAAATTTCGCGATGAAAAAGTTGTAAGCCCAAATTTTTTTATGTACACTCTAGACAGTACTTCTAGCAACATAACGTCATTTTTTAAATCACTGACGCATTTTAAATAGGTGTCATCATGACACATTTTCTGGACAAACACTGATTTATAAGTTTCTCGACTTATGTACCTAAAATATTCGTTTTTTGTAGCTTTTTGAACATCTAATTACCTTGCTTTTCAGCTCCAACCATCCCGAATCCGAAGCCAACCTCTGAATCCGCCGCTCCCAAACATCTACCGTAACCCCACATGTACATAGTCGTATTTGATAGCCAGTATTGTCGCTTGTGCCTTTTTTGTCATCGAATTCTCATCGATCCAACTGTTTTCGGTTAGCTTACAGTCACCCATTCGAAGTTACAGTATGTCTCAGGTTACTGTAATTACAGTATCCGCAGGGCTACGGTAGTACAATATACTATGATTTTGATGTCCTAGTAGGTACTCACTGTATTTGCAGTAATTTTGATACATAAAAAACCTCGTTGGGTTACTGTAACTTCGTTATTTTTCGCTCCTCTTCCGACCGTCGCTTGGCATAGTCTCTCCCGAACATAATTGTGATTCAACATCATCTTGTCTCTTGGCCTCAAAAAAAGATTTATTTTTCGTATTCTACCATTCGAAACACTTGTTATTCTTTCCTTGTTCATCATGTGCAATTTCAACGTCTTCATGCAATTTAATTTCACTTTACTACCGTTTTTGAAAGCAACGTATTTTATCAAAATATTAAAATTTAATAAAAAATAATATCAAGCATTGGCCACGTTTCAATTCTTGAAAGTTTTTGCTGGTGAGATATTCGACAATCTTTGCCGCCGAGAGAGAACGCAAAATGTGGAGAGCGGTCAGAGAAAAACATCGGGTTTTGGCCATATCTTTGTCAGTTTTTCGCGGAAAAAACTGATTCTTTTGTGGAAATATTCCCCTCTACGACAGAAAATAGGTCTAACACTTACCTTTTATGCCAAAGAAAAGGAATTTTTTTGTTTTTGTACGAATGGAAATTGCGCAGTGCAGAATTTTTCGATTCCGTTGAGAAAAGCGTGTGTCGCAGCGATATTGGAATTGCACGGTGCACCGTGCAATTCCACGATGCAAAAGATCAAATGACCCCGCAAAAGGGGCTTTTATACGACAAAAAGTCTCACGAAGGACGGAAAGGTCCGCTAAGAAAAAGAAAAGAGGAGGGCGGGGAGAGGGGGAGGTTTTCGATGGCGCTGATTTCGAATATCGTATCCATTTTTTCTGAATTTTACAATTTTGCTTAAGCCGTAGTGTTAATTAGTAATTTAAAAAAATTTTTTTTTGAGTAATGGATTTAGGAGTTTTCGGTGGTGCTGATTTTGAAAATTGTATCCATTTCCTCTGAATTCTTCCCTATCTTCCTCAATTCTTTAAAATAAATGTTTTAATTGGTAAAAACTTGGTCAAACTTATATATATGATATTGTAAGAAAACTTATGACGCTTTTTTCGTGTTTACAGCGAAAATGACACTACTGCTTAAGCAAAATTGTAAAATTCAGATAAAAATTGACATGATTTTCGAAATCAGCGCCATCGAAAACCTCCCCTCCTCCCCGCCCTCCGCTTTCCTTTTTTTAGCGGACCTTTCCGCAGCGGACCTTTCCGTACTCAATCAAAAAGTCTACGCACTTTTGAAAAGTCGTAATAAAAAGTCTGGGAACTTTCTGCGGCTCCGCACCGTGCATCTCTTGTTTCATCGTATAAAATGGAGTTTAGTCAAATTTCTTAGAAACGTTTTTGCAACCGTAACACGTCACGTAGTGGCAATTTTTACGGGATATTCGGTCAGAGCGACATTTTATACGATGAAGCTTGTCTAGACATGTTTCATCGTATAAAATTTCCGAAATATCCAAAACTATACTTTCCTGTAGATGCGGAGATGGTAAAGAATGCCGATTTGTTGGGCCGGCGACTCCAACCGACGACTGTTCCAGCTGCAGTGAAAACGCGATTTGTCGCGGTGGGAAACACCAATGCAAAATTGGAATTTTTAAAATATTTTCTGTTTTTTTGTCAATTGCGACACTTGGTTTGGACAAAACTCAAAAATCGACAGTGAAATTTTTGTTCTTTTTCGGGTTGTCGTGTGGCGCAGCGACATTATGCTCATTCTTTTCCAGACAGACTGATATAAAGTGCTTGGACATTTTGCCGCGGTCCGCACAACAGATGACCCTGTATTATAGTTGTATTGGCCCTTTGAAGGCGCTAGTATTTTGCTTACCCAGCCTTATTCGAAGATGCTTGCAGGTTCTGGCTACGAAAGATTTTCCAGGATTTATTCACCACTAATGCGGCAGTCAGCACTTCAACTGGCAGAACTCCGATGAAAAACCGCTAAATACGGCAGTGCGTTCTATTTAGATCGAACCAAAAAGCTTCACGAAATCCTCAACGAACGACAAGTACTGTCAGTATATGACATATGCGTGGGTATTGCAATGTGTGGCTATTAGATTTAAAATTGTCCATGTCACGATGAAAATGAAGGGCAATAAAACCACAGATTTTTCTGATATGCACGTTTTTTGAGGGATTTGCTTTGCAGAAAAGATACGAAAACGTTTACTACTGTCACGACTTCGCGTGCGAATTTGCATATTCCCACGGAATGACCGACAAATTGGTATAAAAGGAAGAGAAATCGCCAATTATTATGATTATTTTTGTGTTTTGTCTGTATTTCCCGGTTGTATGTTGATATAAATTGTATTGTCTATTTGTCTATTTGATTGTTCTATGGTCAGCTCTGGTGAAGTTGGTTCCTCAAGTATTGTGAGTTCATTTGTGAAGTTGTTGCCTAGGGCATAATTAGTGTATTGTCGATTGTTTCTGTTGTCGTTGTATTCGCATAGGGCTTGGGATCAGAAATAGCAACTATAGATTAGGTACCCTTACTACTTGACCCATACCAAGGTCTTGACACTACGGAAAACTGTAAATTGTAAAAATAGAAAATTAACGCCAAAAAATTTCGAGTACTCTGAGTTTTAAAAGGTCCGACAACATTAGTTTTCAGGGGATGACATTTTCATTATAACATTTTTACGTGAAAGACGGAAAAGAGCATTATTGAAGAAAATTTTGAAGGCATACTCCACAAAAAAGACAATCCCTGGCTTAATGAATCCATTTTTTTTCATCAATTTTTTTGGTTCCAACCAGAGATTGCCGCGGCTCCGGAGCCGGAAATTTTGGGTGCGGCTCCGGCTCCCGAGCCCAATTTCGGAGCCAGGCTTCTCAGCGTTCAGAAAAGCAAAAATTTCATAAACCAAATTGCTTGAAAAATACTGGAAAGGATGTGCTGCATACGAATTGGCTGCAAACACGTTGGGTATGATATCCGGCACTAATAACTTTTATTTTTGGTAAGATATATTTTTAAAAAAATTTTTGCACGGGAGCCGGGATTCGGAGCCGGAGACCTTTTTAAATGTTTTATGGGAGCCGGAGCCGAAATTTTGACCGTGGCAATCTCTGGTTCCAACACATAAAAGTGGTGATTGTATAAATTAAAATGTTAATATTCAACCTCGTCAACAACACGCCTTCTTTCTAAAGCACACCCATAAAAGTATAAAAAGGAATGTTAAACGAAGCTCTCGCATCAGAATTGAAATGTGGAAAATACCGATTGTCGTTATTTTTGCCTTGTTTTATACAGGTTTCTGTTCTCGGGACTGTAAAGATTGCGAAGGGTGTTTTGTCATAATGCGTTATGTAATGCCAATTATCAAACATCCTTTGACGGTGACTACGGAAGAGCTAACAAAGATCATTAATGTATGCTGGTTTTGCTTTCTTTTCACTTACCTACATAGCGATGAGAATCGGGCATATAAAAACGTTTCTAGGGAATTTGGCGAAATTCCATTTTATACGATGAAACATGTCCAGACAAGTTTCATCGTATAGAATGTCACACTGAACGAATATCCCGTAAAAATTGTCACTGCGTGACGTGTCATGCTTATAAAAACGTTTCTAGGGAATTTGGCAAAAATCCATTTTATACGATGAAACATGTCCAGACAAGTTTCATCGTATAAAATGTCACACTGACCGAATATCCCGTAAAAATTGTCACTGCGTGACGTGTCACGCTCATTAAAACGTCTATAGGGAATTTGGCGAAATTCCCTTTTATACGATGAAACATATCCAGACAAGTTTCATCGTATTATAAAATGTCACACAGAACGAATTCAATCCCAATGCAGCCCTTCTTCGATAAAATCATGATTTTTTTAGGACGCATGTTCTTCTGCGCCGTTCCGCAGGTACCTTTGTCGATGCCTTGTTCAGCGAGTCGATGAGTTTCGCAAATTGTTAAATCAAAAAAAATATATTTTTGGCGCTTACATCTTGTGCCGGGATATTCACATGTGTGGATACTAGGCAAGCCAAAAGTCTTGACATGTTTCGTCAAGACTTTTTAGCCCACCTGGTCTGAGCCTGCAATTTTAATGTTTGAAATTTTCACACTCCGTAATAAACTTATTCTAAATATGAGGGAAAGGCCATATAACAGAGCCGAACTGGTCCAAAATACACTCAATCCTCTGTACAACGCATCGGAAGGGACCAAAAAAGGTGGTTTGTTGAACAAAAGTTCGAGAATGACATTTTCATTATGACATTTTTACGTGAAAGACGGAGAAGAGCTTTGTTGAAGAAAATTTTGAAGGCATACTCCACAAAAAAGACAATCCCTGGCTTAATCAATCCATTTTTTCTTCATCAATTTTTTTTTGTTTAAACACACAAAAATGGCGATTGTGTAAATTAAAACGTTAATATTCAACCTGATCAACAACACTTTTCTTTTTAATCGCAAACCATTAAAAGTGTGAAAGGAATGTTAGACGAGGTTGTCTGTCTGGAGCTTTTCAATTCTGCCTTCCTTCCATAAAAAAACTCACATGAAGAATTCTTTAATTTACGCGAAGCTCAAAACACGCCAATTTGTTTTTTATCAGTCTGTCGGGAAAATAATGTGGGTTTTGTCGACACAGATTTATTTGGCGCATTAAATATCCAGCCGCCACAAAGCGAGGATAGGCGATTCCAAAGCGCACCAAATCCACTCCACATTATTTTCCAGACAGACAGACAGAAAAGTAAATAAAAAAAAACTTCCTTTTTTGGTGGAAAAAAGTTGTAAAATACGGGTGTCTAGACGCGATGAAACATGTCTAGACAAGTTTTATTGTATAAAACGTCACACTGAACGAATATCCCGTAAAAATTGTCACTGCGTGACGTGTCATGCTTATAAAAACGTCTGTAGGGAATTTGGCGAAATTCCATTTTATACGATGAAACATGTCCAGACAAGTTTCATCGTATAAAATGTCACACTGGCCGAATTCAATTCCGAAATTCTCGAAAAAAACGATCACAATGGTATTTTTTCAAGAAGTGCTTTCATAGCAACGCTACAACGCAATCTTCAAGGAACTAGCGATTCCGCCTTCTCTCTATGTTGATGTTTATACAAATAGGCTTGGCATTTCATCTCCGATCCCTTCTTCAAGACAGTGCCGCGAAAAAAGATGTTCTAATCGCGCATCAACCGGGAATATCCATGCATTTTTGATGCGGCGGATCTTCGTTTCGCCCCGAAAGTCATCAAAACCGCTTCCTGTTGAGGGTGGGAATTTGCGGCTGGCCAAGTTTGCAAGCCAGTAGGGGCAAAATGACGGTGGATTTTGTGTTTTATATTGCTTTATTTGGATTTATGGAGAGTTTTGGCGATGGATTTGGTTATGGTAAGTAAAAAAAAATTAGGAAAAAATTGAAGGGACAGAATCGGCGAGAAAGATGGTTGAATATCTCGACGGCCGCTGCAAAACATGAGCTAAAATTTTTAGAAAGTGATTAGAAGCCCATATAACTCGTTTTTACGTAATCTTACGAAGGTACCACTTTATACGATGAAACATGTTTGGAAAGGTTTTGTCGTATAAAATGTCAGTTTAAGAGCTGAGATTTTCAGGAATAAATTTAGATTCATTTTTTAGGGATTTACAGGTGGCCGGCCTATGTTTGATGAGTAGACAGAATAAAAAAAAATCAAATATTTTTTTTGCATTTATTCCAAAAATTTTATTTTTTTTTATTTTTTTTCTACAAAAGTTTTAGATTTTTGATATTATAATTCAGGTGACGAAAAATGCTTTGAACCCTTTGACATTGGGCCTTGCACATTTTTCGTGAAGAAATGGTATTACGACCAGTCCTCCAAGGAATGCCGGCCATTCAATTACGGAGGTTGCCTTGGGACGAGAAATCGATTCTCCAACAAGCAAGAATGCTTGAAGTCGTGCGTTTACAAGATGAACGATCCTGTCAGCTTGCCTGGTAAGTGAAAATCAAAGGTTTCCTATGAAGAACGTACAAAAATAAAGGTGAAAATGCACAAGCACTGTTCGAAAATAAAAGTTTTCTTTGCACTGTGCAATTTCTTGCTTTTTGCACCGTAAAATAAGCTTTTCTCGGCTGTCGCTAGCAGTCTGATTTTTGCGCAGTGCAAAAGGCCAAGAATCAGCGACTTTCCGGGATGACTAGCACTAAGGTTGATCAAGTTCTGGGATAGTTTTTCACCTATTTTAAGGTATTTTATTTACATTTATTAGTTACTCCAAAAAATATCCAAATAAAACTTATTGTCATAAGGGCCGACAACCCAGTAACGAGACAAGACGAGAGCTCAAGAGTCAAGTGATTTATTCAGTGGAAAGGAGGCCCTTTTATAGGGAAGCCCCACGTAGGAAAGTACAATCAAATTTGAATAAATGTAGGTCGTTTCTGTTGGTAATCTGAGTGGAGTTACCGGGAACAACATGAGGCGAAACAACGGGGGAATTTCGGTCTACAGGACTTGTAGCACCGACAAAAAGGGACGCTGGATCAAAAATACGAAAACCTAGATGGGATGACCTAAGGTTTGGATAGGTGGTCGCCATGTCACGACTTAGCTATGAGTCGTGGTGTAAGTTGGCCCTTAACTTGCCCGCTACTACTAGTATTCACTACCTAACCCGTAGACGCAAACTAGAGGACTCTGGCAATAAAACTGTGAACTCACGATATTGACTCCAGACGATGTGACCACAATACGAATAGACTACAGTAGAAATACGATTTATTGCAAATATCCAACCGGGAAAAACAGACACAAAAATAATCCAATCCTAATTGGCGATTTCTCTTCCTTTTATACCAATTTGTCGGTCATTCCGTGGGAATATGCAAATTCGCATGCGAAGTCGTGACAGTGGGAAAATTCTCGAAGCTAGGTCGTTCCGCCTCACACTTATGGATCATCTTTTATTAAGTTTTGGTCTCCGCAAAGCCTCTGCAGAGCCTCAGCCAAGCACTGTCAGGCCTCGTACGCCTTTGAGAAAAGTGTGCCGCAACAAAAAACAAACAAAAAAGTCTATGCACTTTATGGAAAGAATAGTGTTACACTTCTGTTCAGGGCGTAGCTTACAAAAAGAATAATTTCGCCCTTTTCAGAAATCTGCCTTCTCGATGCAGACCCAGCCCACTGTTCGGACGAACGGGCCGGCCAATGGTGGTATTATTTCAACGCCGAACTCGGAGTCTGCGACAAATTTTATTACTACGGCTGCGGTGGGAATGACAATCGGTTCTATTCGTTGTATCAGTGCCGGAAGGTTTGTGGAGAGCGAATGGATCCGCAGATTGGTAAGATTTTGTTATTTTATGCATAATATGTAATGATAAATATAACAGACGGTCACAAGGGCGTATTTTACAATTTTTTTTTGTTCTTTTGACTGAAAAATTACTCAAAGTGCCACGCTCAGATTTTGACAAAACTTGGCACATATTTAGAATGACTTTTTCTAAGACATATGTGAGATTTTTAGCTCGCGCTTTGCAGAAACGACCGAGACTTTTAGCTCGAAAGATGGAAAAATTTTTACATTTTTTTTGCGAATTTTGGCATAAAAAGTTTCATAGCTATTTCTACCACAAAGAGTGATGTTTTCACAAAAAATCAATTTTTTCCGCGCGAAATTCGCTAAGATATGGCCAAAAACTGGGGTTTTCTCTCTAACCGCTCTCCGCCTTTCGTGTACTCTCTCGGCAACAAAGATAGTTGAATATCTCGGCTGACTAAAATAAGAGCGTCACACTTTTAGCACTATATTTACCTTGTTAGCTCTAAAATAATCCAAACATCCAAAAAAAGACATTTTATACGATGAAACCTCTCTGAACATGTTTCATCGTATAAAGTCGAACTCTTCTAAAATTTTGAAATTTTGAAACGATAGTTTGAAAAAACTATTGTTTTTTTGTAAAATACTCCACAAATCTCAGTGTCTAGACTATGAAAATAACTTCAGCTTGCGAAAGGTGCGACGTTCGGACGTCATTTTGTCAAGCGGAAAGCAAATACAAGTACAGTTGCCAATGCCGCGAAGGATATATCAAAGCGTCGAATGGGGATTGCGTCGACATGGATGAATGCGAGCTGATGCAAGCAGAATGCGGAGACAATTCGAGGTGTATCAATACTGTTGGGTCTTATAAGTAAGTGCCATAGAAATGTGAAAACGTTAATTTTTTATACAAAAGAACTATTTCAAGGCTGTGCGTTGTTTTTTCTTTGGTCGCCTTTCCTAATTTTATGGTCAAACTTTTTTTAACAGATCGCAAGGGGAAAAACATTTGTTATAAAAGGGCTTCGTTATAAGGACTTCATTTTGGGTAGAATTGAGTTTTGAAGCTTCAGAAATAGTTCGTTATTGACAACTTTTTTTCTATGGGAGTTTGTTATATTGAGGCTCCACTGTTTAAAATTCAAAATTCCATTTTATACGATGAAACATGTCTACACAGGTTTCATCGTATAAAATGTCACACTGACTGAACATCCCGTTAAAATTGTCACTATGTGACGTGTTACGGTTGCAAAAACGTTTCTAGTAAATTTGGCGAACTTCCATTTTATACGATGAAACATGTCTAGATACGCTTCATCGTATAAAATGTCACTCTGACCGAATATCCCGTAAAAATTGCCACTGCGCGACGTGTTACGGTTGCAAAAACGTTTTTAAGAAATTTGACTAAATTCCATTTTATACGATGAAACATGTCTAGACAAGTTTCATCGGATAAAATGCCCGAAATATCCAAAAACTATATTTTCTTGTAGATGCGAATGTCTGGAAGGTTATGTTGGAGATGGTAAAGAATGCCGATTTGTTGGGCCGGCGACTCAGACCGACGACTGTTCCAGTTGCAGTGAAAACGCGATTTGTCGCGGAGGGAAATGCCAATGCAAAATTGGCTTCGAAGGCGATGGATTCAACTGCACTGGTACGTATTTAAAAAAAATCAAAAGTTGCTTAATTTTTTTGTTTGTAAAATACGAATTGTGTTCTCATTCGTTTGCATTTTTAGACGTCGACGAATGCATGAGTCCACTGCCAAAATGTGACCCAAATGCGGAATGTTTCAATACGATTGGATCGTATTTGTGCGAATGTAGCGTGGGATTTGCGGGAAATGGCTTCGAATGCACGAATAATACGAGTAGGTTTCATGTTTATTTGTAAAATACGAAACTCAAAGAAATCGGAATAAAACAAAAAAAAGCAATAACATTTTTTTTTGCCTAATAATTGTCATGGTCCTAAAAGATTTTAAGTATATATACTTGGCACAAACTTTATTTTTTTATTTTTTTTTTTTGAAAAAAAGTTCCTTATTCTGGCCACAACAAAGCTACTCTGTGAACTGCGCCCAAACTTGGGAACTAAAGTTAAGAAAAAAGGCTTCGACCTAACTGGCACAATTACTATAATAGTTTTAAGGGTACCTACGAAGGCGATGACGACTCATTTAGTTCTATACGGAGGCAGTAAATTTAGTTCCGGACATCTTTCGTCGTATAAAGTGAAAAGTCGCAGGCTGCAACCCTTTTTGAAGGCTAAGGTTGTACGTAAAAAAGAAGGTACCTCACTAACTGAATCCGCTGCCCGGGTATTGACAACGCTGAATTGAGCCTGTACGCTAAATTTGAGCTAATTCTGACCAGTTTCCGCAAGGTTATCAGTTTTGGCCAGAATAAGGAACTTTTACCATTGGCACAAACTTAATTTGTTTTTTTTTGTAGAAATATCCGATTTCTTATTTAAAAATATCAAAAAAACATCTCTTCAGTTTCCTGTCTGGACAAGCAATCGCGCGATTACGAAGCCTCTTGTACCGGCGAATACCGCGAACATTATTTCTTTGATCACACTACGAAACAATGCACAATGTTCTGGTTCGACGGATGCCCGAGTAAATCGAGAAACATCTTCTCGGATCTGAGCACTTGCGAAGAGATGTGTGTGAGGACGCATATTTTGAAAAAAGCTCGTAAGTTTTTTGGTTTTTTTTTGAGATTGCTATTTTAAGCAGGGATAATGTGCGCAATTTTGAGAATTTTAAAAGAAAAACGTTCTGAATTTCAAAATTTTTTAGATTTTTTTGTATTTTTTAATAGTTAAAATAGATGAAGAATGTATTTGAAATTTGCAAAAAAATCTTACGTTAGAAAAAATGAAAGCAATAGTTTTTATTGTTCTTGGCATTTTTTATTTTTGATATATTTTTTATATCTTTCTTTTATTTAAAAAGATGTGTTAAAATTTTGCGATTTTTTTACAGATTCCGCATTTTACAAATTCTTTCAAATTCTATAATTTTATATTTTTTAAGAAATAAAAAATAAATAATTTTTTTTGGATAAAATGAAATGGTTACTTTATTGACTGAGAATATATTTTAGGATTTTAAAAATTCACGTATTTTACAAATTCCATTTTAAAAATTTTTGATTTTCAAAAAATTTTTACATTTTTTTTAGAAAAGAATGGAACTTGAAAAAAAACGTATTTTACAAATCTCTTTTTTTATTTGCTTAAAATGTTTTTTGGTGTTTTTTGATCGAAACTATTATTCCCGTATTTTACAATTTTTTTTATTTTTTATTTTCAGTAAAAAATTTTTAAAAAATTTATATTTTTTATGAAAAAAGGAATGATTAATGATTTAAAATTTCACTTTTTTTTAAACATTTTTGATACTTTTTAAGTTTTTTTTCAAACGAATCAATAATGGCAGTATTTTACAAATTCTTTTTTTTTATTTTTTTCAAATTCTTTTTTTTTTCTTATTCATTTTCAAAAAACAATCTTGTTGAAATTTATCCTTTCAACACTCCGTCAAAAAAATGTCATCCTGCGCTCCCTTTGCACTCTAAACTCCCCATCTCTTGCCCTTATTATCACCCTCGCCTCCCTTTTTTATAATCGTATTTGGAGCATCGTTTCCCAGTCAAAAAATCTCCGTTTCGTCGAAAAACTTGGGAAAAAACTTGAATCCCCCAAGGATCCGGGGCCTGGCCGAAATCCTTTTTTATTTATTTCTTCGGCGGAGAATTTCGTTTTTTTCAATTCTTTTCGGATCAAAGGACCACAGGACTGGTTTTACAAAAGAAAAAGGGCCGTGAAAGTCGGGGATCTTCTGAGATTTTTTGGTTTTTTGTTTTGTCGGCAGGGTGTGCTGAGAATTTTAGGAAGTTCTTTGAGTACTGTAGATCATTTTTTGGATCATCTTTCTTTTTGCAAAGAGATCGATAGATTTTAAAACAAAATTTTTTGTTTGCAAGCCATAGGCGTCGGGCAAAGACTTTTTTGTTTTTCGTCCTGTCGGAAGGGTGTGCTGACAGTCTTAGAGAGTATTGTACATCATTTTTTGGGTCGTCCTTGCAGCCTTTTCGAGTAAAAAATGAAAAAATAAACGATTTCTCAGACTTCTTAGTTTTTTCTTTTGTCGAAAGGGTGTGCTGAGAATTTTAGAAAGTTTTGTGGGTGCTGTAGATCATCTTGTGGGTCGACTTCGCAGTTTTTTTGGATGAAAAAGTAGAAGAGAATAAAAAAGGATTTCTCAGATTTCGGGCAATGAATTTTTGGTCTTTTGCTATGTCAAAAGGGTGTGCAGGGAATTGTAGTAAGTTGTGTGAGTACTGTCAATTACCTTGCGGGTCGAATTTGCAGTCCTTTTTGGAAGAAAAAATAGAAAAAAAGACAAAAATTTGGAAAATTTTTTGTTTCGCAACCGGCGTGTAAGGCCTCGGGCAATGACTTTTTTATTTTTTTTTGTTTTGTCGGAAGGATGTGCTGATAATTTTAGAAGGTTTTGTGAGTACTGTAGATCATTTTTTGAGCCGGCAGTCTTTTTCGATTAAAAAAAATTAGACATTACAAAAACATTTTATTTGCAAAGTGAGCCTCAGGCGTCGGGCAAGGGCTTTTTTAGTTTTTTTTTTGTGTCGAAAAGAGGTGTTGAGAATTTTAAAAGGTCTTATGAGTACTGTAAATCATTTTCTGTCAGAATTTTTAGTTTTTTGGAAGGAAAAAGTTAAAAAATTTGAAAAAAAATAATATTTTCAATTGAAGCCAAGTGGACGCTAAAGGTGATGGTTGTATAGCTTGCTTACAATGCGAATGCAAAATTTAAGGAAAATCTGAATGATTTTTTTCTAATTTTTTATATTTAAAACAATAGAAAAGAAAAATATTTAAAAATCAAAAAAAAAATCAAAAAGTAATTTTTTCACTGTAACCTTCCCCCTATCTCTACATTTTTTAAATATACATTTCTTGTTTGTCAAAAAAATTCTCAACCCTCCAAAAAAGGAGCGGCCGAATAACCCAGATTAAATAATCTGGTGAGAAAAGAATGGCCTGAAGAAGTCTCCATTTCGCTCTTTGGCCGGCTTTTCGGACCGAACTTTTCCGTTTTTGTTTTCCTTTACAGCTTGCGATGTTCATCTTTGGGGCATTCACATCAAGTTTGGGAGGAGATGGATGACAGCTTTTGAGCTTAAAAGTTGAATTTTTGAGGAAAATTTTTTGGGGTTTTTTGTTGTATTAGCGGGTAAAATTTTGCGAAAAATTTGGATTACGCTTATCATAAATTATTTTTAACTTGCTATTGGCAAAAAATATAGCGATTTTTTGGTCGAAAAATGTGAAAAATTTTTTAATTTTGACGATTTTTATGGTTCAAAAAAAGCTGTGTAATTTCTGCTGAAAATTACATTTTTTCAGCGAAAGAAATTACAAAGTTAGAGGCTAAAAAGCGATTTTTGAGATGAAAAAAAAATTTTTATACACTTTTGAAAACAAAAATTAATAAATATTATTTCCACTCGTACCGTAAAAAACAGTTAAATTTTTTTTTATTTTCTGATGGTATAAGAAGAAATTTTGATCAAAAAGAAACTCAAAAAAGTATCCAAAAATGATTTTTGGATACTTTTGGACACTTTTCAGGCCGGTTTAAAAATTTGTCGCTTTTCTGACGACGTCACAAAAAATTTTTGCCAAAGACCTCAAAAATTATCCAAAATATTTTTTGGATACTTTTTGATACTTTTTCAAAACACCCGAATTTTTTTTGGATACTTCTTGATACTTTTTAAGACAGACTAATTTTTTTTTTTATTTTTTGATGACATTAAAAGAAATTTACCAAAAAAGTTATCAAAAAACCTCAAAACTATTTTTTGGATACTTTTTAATACTTTTTTCAAACCCTCCAAAATTTTTTGGATACTTTTTGATACTTTTCAGGCCAGTTAAAAAAATTTTTATTTTTGATCGTATCACAAAAAAATTTTGCCAAAAAAATCCTCAAAAATCCTTAAACCTACAGGGTGTCCCAAAAAAAATGCATGTTATTTTTATGGCTACATTTTATATACCAAACAAAATTTAGCCAAACTAACTATGGATATCAGTAACATAGAGGATTATTGATAACATATCAAGCCAGTTTCACAGTGGCTGCCCTTGGTGGCGATATAGAGCTTCAAAAGTAACTTAAAATTTTGGGCTCGGGGCCGCAGCCTTTTTCGAGGAAATCGGTCCCGTTCTTGGCGCAACGATTACTTTGCCATTCCAAACTTTTGTGGTGTGTAGTACAGGCAATGGCCTCCAATTGAAAAAAAAATATAGTCAATCGGATTCAGGTCCGGCGAGCAGACGGTCGTTTTGTGGACGGGGTGAAATCGGGAAAATCGGTCCCATTTCGGGTCCTGAGTCGATTTTGCCTTGTGAGCCGGCGCTGAGTCTATCAAGGACGCCAAATTTGCATTGCCGAGGTTCTGCTGAGTCAACAGAAGTACGGGAAAATCAAGATTAACGCGGTGCTAAAATTTTGCCCCCTTGATCCGAGAAAACCATGGAATTCTTGCCGCTGGGAGAAATTCCGCCTTAGGCGATGACGGCCCGGATTTTGACGGTTTTCGACGTTAGCCGACATGCCGAGGGCCTCATCTAAGAAGAACCTATTGCTTTGGTGGTTGTGCATCCGCCAAATATTGAACCACGAACGAATGCGCTCACGTCTGTGAGTTGCGGCCCAGCCCTTGAGTTTTCTACATTTTTCGCGCCGCACGCACTTGCCGTCTACGTTAACGATCTGAGCTTTTTACAGCTTATACAGCGTAAGGCATAGCTCATCATAGACTATTCGGGTGACCGATCGGTCGCTGATGCCGATCTCACAGGCAAATTTTTCTTGAAAATAGCGTTTTGCTGTTGGTGATCTCCCGGTTGACAGAACCGCTGGCGGTGCGTTTTCCTTTACGTCCTGGACGCCTACAATCGTTATCAAGCTCCTTACATCGCGTGATTACTTTTGACGCAACGTCCTTTCTATACTGGGCAAATTTACAACTTGAACGGCTCAAAAATAGTGACAAAATCGCAGTTCCTTTGTTTGACATTTAAAAAAACCATGCTACTTAATCGATATGAACACAAAACTGAAATGACGAGGGCAGAAAAACACGGAGATTTTAGCAGTACAAAAATCTTTTGGCCTGACCTAAACATTTTCGCGTCAGGACCCATGTTAAAAAACATGCATTTTTTTTGGGACACCCTGTATTTTTGGATACTTTTTGATACTTTTCCAAAACCTCTAAAAAGTCGTCAATTTCCAAAAGATTTCATTCGAAAAATTACCCATTTCTCACCCACTACCCATATAAAAGACATATGTTTATCCGGCGTTCCCTTTGTCCCCGAAGGCCTGAAAACATTTATAAAAGCGCGACGATTTATTTCCGCCCGTTTGGCGGCCGAATCAGATAAGGGAGGGAAGATGCGGCCCGAACAACGTAGCATGTGGACTCGCAAATTTTTGGGTTTGGAAATTTGGGGAGGGGTTCCGAATTTGATAGCCAAATTCGAGATTGTCAGACGATTATATTACATCTACATTCGCTGTTTGTCGTGATGACAAACAAACATTTTTGAGGGAGATTTGAAAAATATTGGATGATTTTGGTGATGACGTTGGGCAGAAAAATAAATGAGATTTTTAGATTTATTGCGCTTTGAAATCGCTTATTGCCACTTTGCGACGACTTGCCGCGGTCAGAGGTTTTGCGACGATTCGAAAAATTTTGCTCCTAAAAATCCACATTATTTTCCCGACCGATTGATATTAGTATTATATTTTCATAAAGTGCATGGACATTTTTTCCGCGCCATGTGCAAAAAGTCCGTGCATTTTACCATTTTTTTGGTTTGGCAGATTGTTGTGCATCGGATATATTAATACTATCGCCGCCAGTAGGCTTTTTTCAACTTTGTCATAGCGTTTCTCCTCCTGAAGAACTTGCACAGTGCAAACAGTGTTTTTTTGTGATGTGCACTGTGCGAAAAAACAAAGGCACTGTGCTTTGGCGGCGAGTGCGGAGAAAAGTTCAAAATACACTATGCGAAAGAGAACAAATGTCCATGCACTTTATGAAAATACTAATAAAAGTCTGTCGGAAAAATAATGTGGATTTGTTGCAGAAAAAAGTGTCTCGCTTCATATCTTTTTAAATTCAAGAAAATTTTGATTATGTCGTTTTCCGTATTTTACATAAAAATTTTCTCAATTCCCTACCACCTTCTCCACACTTATTCCACTTCTTGCTCATCAACTCCCCTCAGTTTACCCTTCCGCTCCTAATCTTCCAAGTCCAATATAGACTTGCTCGCTTATCCCCCCACTCCCCGCAATTTAATGCATCTCGCGCTCTTTCGGTGGACATTCGGCCGCTTACAAGTGGATATTCGTTTACGTTTTTGGCGGCGCCACGGGAAACCGAGAATGGACTGAAAGGCGGCGGGGCGGCGAGGTTATGCGCGCAAAGATTGCGGGAAGGGCGCCGGACTCGGGAAATTAGCCATGGATTTGGGCGAGGTTTAATTACTTTTAATGGACATGACATGGAGCTGTATGTGCGCGGAATTCTAGGGCTATTGGAGGGCTGGGATGGATTTTGGGCAGGGTTGAGCAAGAGGGGACCAAACCTATGGAGAGATGAGATTTTGGGGCTGGGTTGAGTAAGAGGCTGGGGCTAAGGCTGGGCTGGGATAAAATTCGAGATTTTGGGCGGGGTTGAGCTGGAGGAAACCAAGCCTTAGAAGGGATGAGATTTTAGGACTGAAATGAGTAAGAAGCTGGAGCTATGGCTGGGCTGGGACAAAGTGTTTACCTTGAGGCTGGGTTTAAGGGAACCCCAGGCTGGGCTGGGATTTGGAGGCAGGGTTTAGTAAGAGGGACCAAGGCTGGGATGGCTTGGGATAAACTTGAGATTTTGAGACCGGGCTGCGCAAGAGGGGATCAAGTATCATTTTGTCGGGAAAATTATCAGCACAATGTCGCTGCCCTATTGCTTCGCTGAGAAAATGAATTGTGTTACGGCAAAACCAAATTTTGTGGAGACTTTGTTTCCGTTTCCATATTTGACCATAATATCCGAAGATATTCTGGTTATTTTAATCTAAAATCCCATTTCTACAACTTTTTACTCGTTATTTTGACATATTTCATCTAATGACCATTTTATACGACGAAACATGCTTAGAGAGGTTTCGTCATATAAGATGTCTCAAAAAGCTTTTTGAATATCTTGGATGCTCCTGCCAGACGTAAACTGAAATTTTCAACAAATCATGGCGAAAAATCTCGTTCTAAAACATGTTTATTTATGTTTCCTTGCACTCCAATCAATCGACTATACGAAGTCCCGATCAGATCTTATTTATCAAACTTCAAGCTCCTCATTTTTTTTGATCTTGTCAGTTTTTTATAACCAAAAGATTTGTCAAATTAATCTTAGTTTATATCGCTTAATCCATTCGAATTTTTTTGCTCAAACCCCTTGCTCCCATCCCGTCTTTTTGTGCCAGCGGACCTCCAGCGGCGCCTCCAAAGTCATGGAAATGGGTATGCAGATAATAATCATTATGTTTTCGGCCATTCCGGCCATATGCGGAAAGGGGAAAACAAAGTTTTTCAGAACGGGAATTGAATTTTGAAATCTTTTTAAAAAGCAAAATTTTTGTCATTCTTTGACCTTCAGGACAAAGGGACTTTTCGTACAACTTTAAGTGATGTTTTCTGTATTGTTTCGTAATGTACTGCACGAAATTTTAGCTCTAAAAGTGACGTTTTATACGACAAAAACTTTCCAAACAGGTTTTATCATATAAAACGGTAGCTTCATAAAATTTTGTAGAGATAATTTAGATAGGTCTCCAATCAATCGCTGAAAATTTTATCTCTAAAAGTGACATTTTATACGACAAAAACTTTCCAAACATGTTTCATCGTATAAAATGGAATCTTCGCAAAAAAATAAAAGTAGTTTAGATGGGCTTCTAATCAATTTCTGAAGGGTTGTAGCTTCTAAAATTGACATTTTATACGATAAAACCTGTTTGGAAAGGTTTTATCGTATAAAAATGTATCTTTATAAAATGTTGCAAAAAAAGTCGGGATGGGCCTCTAATCAGCTGCTGAAACTTTTATCTCGTAATTTCGAACGGCATCTTGGATATTCAGCGAACATTTTTTTGCGAGGGATCATGGGCAAAAGGAGAGCCGGCCATAGAAAAAAAGGTTCTCCGCCATTTCAATTTTGATGACGAGAACATGGAAAAATGCAGAGGGCCGTCAGGGAAGCTATTTCTTTTTTTCATGCGCAATTTTTAGCAAAATTTTAACCGTATTTTAAGCTGAAAATGCAAAAAAATCGGAGTGAGACATGACTCAATTGTTTGTACAACATTTTTAGACCACCTTCTTGGTTATGAGGTAGTTAAAATTTAAATTTATGCGCCTCATAAAAATTACCCTTCTTTTAGAAAGAAATTCTCATCGCGTCTTACCCCTTATTTTCACCTTTTTAAAATACGCTCTATTTTTGTCGAGGTATAAAAAGTTATATTTTCAGGTACTCAAAATCGGAAAAAAATATTTTTTTTAAAGTTTTGAAAAAATGAAACTGTAAATTTTCCAAAAATTTTAATTATTATAAATTTGAGTCACATCACAGAAAAATGATGACAAAATTGTGCACATTAGACCTGTTGGCTTTTGTTTTACTGCCATTTATCCAATTCATCACATCTTCAGAGGTTTGTTGGGACAAATTTGATGAGAATTTGAAAAAACCGTGCAGACAAGGTGAGTTTTTTTTTAATTTAAAATTTTTATTTGTGATTTACTACCAAAATATAAGGTTATTTGAAAATTCAGAGCAAATTCTTTTCTGGCCAAAAAAAACCAACTTTTTTCCACACGAAATTGGCCGAGAAATGGCCAAAAAGGAATTTTTCTCTGACCACTCTCCTCATTTTCCACACTCTCTTACCAAATCGATTGTTGAATATCTCAGCTGCGCGTATAGATAACGAGCTGAAATTTACAGAGATTGATTACAACCTCATTTACACTATTTTTACAAAATTTGAAGAAGATACCATTTTATACGATGAAACATGTTTGGAAATGTTTAATCGTATAAAATGTCACTTTTAAGGAAAACTGGAGATTGTAGAATGCTTTTTTAGTAATTTGATTGTTTTGTATTCAAAAACCTTTTTGAACAAGTCTTTTCCAGGCAAATGGGAGCAAAAATATTTTTACGACCACACCTCGATGACTTGTCAGCTTTTTTGGTACGATGGATGTCGAACTGAGAGCCGGAATTTCTTCAACGACCGTCTAAATTGTCAATGGTTGTGTGAGGAACAGGCCAAATACAAGGACAGTAAGTCTTTCCCACGGTAAAATACGGTTTTCTTTGGACCTCGGCAATCTTACGTCTTTGCCCATAATTCATAATTTTTTCACGTTTTTTGTCCATAATTTTTGGCTTTCCTTCAGAGTCATGTCTTGAGCCCTTCGATGAGCATTATCGCGACGAATGCAGTGGTGGGAAATGGCGACAACAATATTATTTCAACAAAAAGGACAAGGTGACCTCAAAATCTCCATTTTTTTGATTTTTTCACTAAAAAATCGCAAAAAAGTTTTTTAAAATAGCCAACAGAGAGAAAGGAGAAGCTTTGTAGAGGTTTATTTTACTCTTTTGTTGTAGTAAATTCACTTTTTTTCGCTCTTTTTTAGCGTTGCACTCCATTTTGGTACGACGGATGCCGTGGAACCAGCCAAAACCTCTATTCCGACCTGAACACTTGCCGATCCGTATGCGAAATCCCGGCGCAAGGTCAGTTCACATGTTTATTTTTGGTTTTGACAAGTTTTCTCCGTCGAAAAACAAAGAAAATTGCGAAAAAAAGCGGGCCTTTTCTCCCTTCCCCGACCCCGTTCCCATGGCTCTTTTGGAATGAGAGAAACGAAAGAGCGCCGGAACAGAGCCTCCTTAGCTCAGCGGTAGAGCGTTGGACTTTTAATCCAACGGTCAGGGGTTCGATCCCCCTAGGTGGCTTGACATTTTTTTGGTGTTTTCAGAAGAGTTTAGTGTAAAATAGATGTTTTGTTTTTGTAAAATACGAAGAGTAAGACATTTCAATTGATTTTTCGCCGATTTTTTAAAAGAAAAAATGAGAAAAAAAATCGTCAATCCAAAAAAATCGAATTATTTTGGATTTCTAAGGAGATTTTGACGTAAAATAACTGTTTATTTTGTAAAATACGAAATAACATGTTACTCCATTTAATTTTTTATCAATTTTTTGATAGAAAAAATAAAAAAAAAATGGTAAATCCATAAAAAATTCAAATTTTTTCAAACTTCGCATATGTTTCAGAAGCCGAAAAAGAAAATCAGCAGAGCCATAAAGCCCTCACAGACCGAAATCAGAATCAGCACACCCAAAATATCCCGCAAAATGGCCAAGTAACTCATCAACATCGGCATCATCAAAAGCCGTTTACTGTTCGGCCAGTCAGTAAAGAAGAAGGTCTAAAATACTCTGAAGGCCATGAAAATGGAAGAGCGACCGTTGCAACGTCTGCTGAGAGGACTCGAGGTGGGTTTTGGGTCAAAAATTTATAAAAACTTGTAAAAACTGGGATTTTTTTGGGGTATTTATGGAAAATTGGAGATTTTTAGTTGTTTGAGTAGTTTGAAATACGATTTTTAGTATACAGTACAACATAGAGGCCCTAATTTTTCTATTTTCCCACTTTCCCAACCTTATTTTACCTTACCTCATCTCTTGCGCACCTATGTCGCTATAGCGCAGAGGTTGTGGTTTTAAATCCCACTCGAAAACTCACGGGTTCGATTCCCCGCGGAATAAAACCTACCTATTTCCTGATTCCAGCCCCATTGAAAACCATATCGAGGCCGCTAAATGGCCCATATGGCTCTAGTGGAGGCCAAACTAACTGATAATCGAAAATACTCCATAGCTACCCCTCAATTACTATGGTTGTAGATATAATTATCTACATTTTTTGGGGTTTGTGACCTATTTTTCGATTTTTAAAAAAAAATCTTGCGTAAAATCGCAAAATTTAATTGTAGGGCCACAAGAAGTAAGTCAGCGACCAACTCCACCGTCCAGGAACATTTGTGAACGCGAAAATCCCTGTCAAAACGGGGGGAAATGCGTGTTCGATCGGACAAAACAGACACACTTTTGCGAGTGCGACAACGGCTTCAAAGGGAAGAATTGCGAAATTTTTGATGGTAAGTCGATCATACACAGTGTGAAAATATATTCTAAATTTAGATTCCGATCCATGCTCAAGTGCCCCATGCAAAAATGGAGGTTCTTGTGGGCCGAAAAAGGCGAAGAAAAAATCGGATGACGTTCCCTACGAATGCTTCTGCCCCTTCGGATTTGGTGGACTGACTTGTGAAGAGAGTAAGTTTAGATACTATAAAGACTCTACTATCACCGTAGATATGTAATTTTGTCTTGGGTTACTGTGGTTTTTCAAATTTTTCGTTTTTTCATTTTCCCCCTAAAACTTGATGCCTAGTATAATATCGAGCGTAGCTCTGCGATTTTTTTGCAGAAGACAGAAGGATTAACGTGTTTTACAATCAAATATCATAGGCTAAGAGATCCTGCAGCAGTTTTTGATTTAATGCCTCAGGGCATTTTTTATGGAGGTTTCTTTTGAACAGCCCAAAGTAGGGTGAATTAATAGAAAAAAGGCTATATTTCAGCGAATGATGGTATGATGATACTATAGTTTTTTGAGATTAGTGTAATTGGCATATGTTACCATGCCTTTAAAAATTATTTTGATTTTTGCAGCGTATAAATTTTTTTGAACTTTTAAAAAATTTTTGACGAAAAATTTTACAAGCGCTTTGATCGTCGTATTTTACAACCGTAGTAACATAAAATTTTGTTATGTTATAATAATAGATGTCAATTTTACTATGCTGGTTGATTTTTAATTTTCAGCCCTCAGGCAATATAGAAAATCATCATTTTTTATCATCACCCATTTTTCAGAGCCCTGCGCCTCGGCACCGTGCAAAAACGGCGGTACCTGCCGCACCACCGTCGGCAATCCCCCTTATTTCTGCGAATGCCCCGAGGGCTTTGGCGGCGCGACCTGCGCCACCGCCCTCCAAACCAAAGAGAAGCCCAAATTCGGGAAGAATGTGGAATTGATCTCGTCGGGCAAGGCCGAATGGATCGAGGAGCTGCGAAAACATCAAGAGAAACAGCAACAACGACAACGCGCCGCCACCGGCAACTACACCATCGAAGCCGATGACGCCCCGGTGGAGGTGAATGGGACTTTCGGGCAGCAGTTGCGCAGCAAGACCACAATTCGACAGCTGAAAGGAGCCGATGAGCAGAACGCCGCGGCCACAAATATCGTCTTTATGGCCGTTTTTTGTTGCATTTTTGCGATTATTTTGCAGTTTTGAAATTTTTTAAAACTCATTTTTATTTTTTAAATTTTTTTTGGGATTTTTTACAAGTGCTTTGTCCATTTTTCAAGATGATTTTGCCATATTTTTTAATAAAAAAATTTTAAAAAAATAAAAAATTTTTTTTTTCAAAATTTTTTGAAATTCTTGAAATATCATCTAAATACTCCTAAAATTAATCCCTGAAAATTTTAGCTCATCCTTTGCAAATAGCACCGAGATATTTAGCAATCTTTCCAGTCGAGAGAACACAAAAAATGATGAGACTGGCAGAGAAAAACTTATCAAAAATAGCCCCCGAAACAAACGATATTTAACCCCCGAATAAATAAATTTCTTTCAACAGAACAACCCGCTGAATCGGGACCGTTGGATTTGCAAGAGGCGAGCGGAGGCGTTGGATTACAAAAGTTGGATGGTCAGCCCTTGATTCGAGGCGTGTAATTGCGGATTAACAGGCGAGGGGAAATACGATTAAAACGATGGGTTTTTAACAGCCCCAGTTCCTCCATCTGTTCTTCGGTTTGGGCTATTTTTACGACAATTCAAGTTCCGCTGCACTGTGCGGAAATTTTATTTTTGAAATTTGCACAGTGCAGAAATTTTATAGAGTTTGGAATTTTGCACAGTGCAGTTCTTTTGAATTTCGCACAGTGCACATTTCTGAACTTTTTTGGAATTTTGCACTGTGCGGAACTTTCATGTTTGAAATTCTGCACTGTGCAATCAAATTTTAGCTTTTTGAAATTTGCACAGTGCAGATTTTTTAGGTTTGAAGTGTGCACAGTGCAGAAATTTTTGGATTTTAAATTTCGCACAATGAAGATTTTTGAATTTCGCACAGTGCAGATCCTTGAGTTTTGCACTGTGCAGTCATTTGAAATTTGCACAGTGCAGATTTTTTATGTTTGAATTGTGCACAGTGCAGAGATTTTTGGATTTTAAATTTTGCACAGTGCGGATTTTTTACTTTTGAGTTTGGCACGGTGCAAATTTTTGAACTTCGCACAGTGCAGATCTTTGAGCCGTTTTTTTGAAATTTGCACAGTGCGGAATGTTAATTTTGAATTTGCACAGTGCAGTCTTTTGAGTTTTGATTTGCACAGTGCAGAGATTTTTGGATTTGGAATTTTGCATTGCACAGTGCAGATTTCAGATTTTTAATTTTGCACGGTGCAGAAATGGCGATGGACGAGTCGCAACTTTGCACTGTGCATGATCGACTTTCTTTTTTTATTTTTTTTAAAATTTGTTTTGCACGCACTGTGCAATTAATTTTTTATCCATTTCTCGCACCGTGCAGAACCAAAAGGACTTTTTCTTTTTTTCGCACAGTGCAAAGCAAAAAAGTCTTTTTCTATTTTTTGCACTGTGCAGGTCCGAAACGTCTTTTTTCCATCTCCCGCACGGTCCAGAGCCAAAAATTTCTTTGCTATATTTTGGCACAGTGCGAAGAAAAAAAGATATTTCAATAATTACACCGTGCAGAACCAAAAAGACTTTTTCCATTTTCCGCACCGTGCAAAACCAAAAATTCTTTCCCTATTTTTCGGACAGTGCAGAACCAAAAATTCTTTTCCGTTTTTCGCACCGTGCATAACTAAAAATTCTTTCCTTATTTTTCACACAGTGCAGAACCAAAAATTCTTTTCCGTTTTTCGCACAGTGCAGAACCAAAAAATTCTTTTCTATTTTTCGCACCGTGCGGAACCAAAAACACTTATTCCATTCTTCGCACAGTGCCAAAAATTTTTTTTCATTTTCTGCACCGTGCAAAATTAATTTTTTTTTTTATTTTTCGCACCGTGCAAAACAAAAAAGACTTTTCCCATTTTTCGCACAGTGCAAAACCAAAACTCCCTTTCCCATTTTTCGCACAGTGCACTCCGCCTACATTCTCGCAATCATCCCAGAGCCGGCTTCAAACCCTTTTGACCTATCAAATAGCTATCAAGTATCCCCCTCACGACCCCCATTACCTCATTACCCGAACTTCGTCATCATATCCACCCCAATGAACCCGCTCGATTACCGGTTTCGTACACATGCGCAGCTCGACCCTTCGCTGCCTGAGGCGCTTCGGTAGAGCACTCCAAATTCGAATTTTTAATTGCGCAAACACTTCAGATTTTTTTTCGCGAATGGCCAGAAGACGGGGCGATTCGGAAAAGAATTGGGGTGGCGATTTCTTGTTTGCGCGCAGCTTGACCTGGAATTCCCACCGTTTCGAGCATAGATCCCCGCGGCTAAATACGTTCGGGAAATGTTCATAAAGACCCGAAGGGAAGCCGGGAAACTTGTGCAGACGTTCCCGGTGAACCCCGTCTTGTCCGCTCGTTTTGCACGGTGCGAATTTTTGAGTTTCGGTCGCACAGTGCAAACGAAAAAATTTCCGATCGCACAGTGCAATTTATGAGTTTCCAAAAACTCTATTGCACAGTGCGAATGATGAGCCTTCGATTGCACGGTGCGAAATCCATCACGTCGCAACTCCTTGTTTCGCACGGTGCAGTTGAAAATTTTTTGATTGCACTGTGCAATTGATGTTTTTTTTTCGATTGCACCGTGCGAAATCCATCGCGTCGCAACTCCTTGTTTCGCACGGTGCAAACGAAAAATTTCCGTTCGCACAGTGCAATTTATGAGTTTACAAAAACTCTATTGCACGGTGCGAATGATAAGCCTTCGATTGCACGGTCCATCGCGTCGCAACTCCTTGTTTCGCACAGTGCAGTTGAAAATTTTCTGATTGCGCAGTGCAATTCATGAGTTTCCAAAAACTCTATTGCACAGTGCGAATGATAAGCCTCCGATTGCACGGTGCGGATTCCATCGCGTCGCAACTCCTTGTTTCGCACAGTGCAGTTGAAAATTTTCTGATTGCACGGTGCATTTGATGAGTTTTCCATTGCACTGTGCAATTGATGCGTTTTCGAATGCACGGTGCGAATTTGTCGCGTCGCAATTCTTGGTTTCGCACAGTGCAGCCGAAAAATTTCCAATCGCACAGTGCAATAACGAGTTTTTGATTGCACAGTGCAGAATTTGGCGCATCTTCGCACAGTGCGAAATTTTGAGTTCATTGCGCAGTGCAACTGATGAGTTCTGGATTACAGGGTGCAAAATTTGGTAAATCGTGGTTCCTTCATCTTGCACAAACTTTGCTTCTATTACGCAGTTGAAAAATTTTCGCTTGCATTGTGCAATTGATGTTTTTTTTCGATTGCACTGTGCGAAAGTAGGCGAATCGCGAATCCGGTCTTTGCACAGTGCAAACAAAAAATTTCAGGTTGCACAGTGCAGTTGAAAATTTTTCGATTGCACTGTGCGGAATTTGTCGCATCGCAACTCCAAGTTTTGCTCATTCGAAATTCTGACTTTTCATTGCACTGTGCAATTGATGCGTTTTCGAATGCACGGTGCGAATTTGTCGGGTCGTAATTCTTGTTTTCGCACGGTGCAGTTGAAAATTATCCGATCGCACTGTGCAATGGATGAGTTTTAGCTGCACAGTGCGGAATTTGTCGCGTCGCAATTCTTGGTTTCGCACAGTGCAGTTGAAAATTTTCCGATTGCACGGTGCAATTGATGAGTTTTAGCTGCACAGTGCGGAATTTGTCGCGTCGCAATTCTTGGTTTCGCACAGTGCAGTTGAAAATTTTCCGATTGCACTGTGCAATTGATGCGTTTGTGATTGCACAGTGCAAAATTTGGCAAATCGCAGCTCCGTCTTTTGCACGGTGCAGTTGAAAATTTTCCGATTGCACTGTGCAATTGATTTTTTCGATTGCACGGTGCAGAATTTGGGGTAATCGCCACTCCTGTTTTTGCACAGTGCAAACAAAAAATTTTCGATTGCACAGTGCGGGATTATCAAAAATATTTTTTGCTTTTGCACAGTGCAACCAAAAAAATTCCCGTTTCGCACCGTGCAATTTGGTCTTTTCAATTTTTGTTGGGTTTTCGCTGAAACCGCGCGGCGTTTTGGTCTGCGGTCGTTATTTAGAGCGGTCTTGAGTGTTAAACCACTTCAAAATGGGCCTCAAAACTTTTTTTTATCTTCTTGACCGTTGGTCAAGAAAGTGAGATGGAGATTCCGCGGGTCTCCATATCTTCAAACAAATCCCTTGAGGGGGTTTGTTGCAAAAAGCCCGATTTCGAACCATTTTTGTGTTATTGTCGTCGTATAGCACGTGTAATTGACATAATTGCAAGCATTTTATATTCCAGGATGACATTTGCCCTGAGGCAATTAGTGTTATGGACCGGGTTTGTCACAGTGATCGCTATTCCACCCTCTCTTCCCAGCTCTAAATTGGCTTTTCAACAGGAAAATTATGGTAAGCGAAAACGAGATTTTTTAATTTTAAAAACGTTGTAACTCTGTTAATTCTGCAAAACGCGGTTTGAAATTTTTAGCAATGCCTAAGAAAGTCGTATTCTGTAATTTCCGAAAGTTTCAAGAAGTTTAGTCCACTTTGAAAAACGAGATTTTTTGAATTTCAATGCGTTAAATTGCGGCCAATCCTTGAAAACATGGTTCAAAAACCTACTAGGGTCCTCAAAAAGGCATTACTTTTCATTTTTTATAAGTTTCGGAATAGTGACATTTTATACGATGAAACATGTTTTTCCAAAAAAGACCTCAAGGAGCCGTATTTTACAAATTTCTTTTCAGAAAACGCTGCTCCAGCGTGGTACCAGATGCCGGAACGTCCTGAAAATCCATATGTAAATACACGATCGCCGTATGGCCCTCAGCCAGACAAGCACACTTTTGTTCCCGTTCCCTCGCCTTTCGAATTACCCCGACCAAGAACTCCGCTTGAAATGGCAAATGGGCATATCGTGGATGCCGCCCAAGAGGTTGGTTTGGAATTTTGTGAACCTTAAAATAGCTTGATTTGACAATTTTATACGATAAAAGCTTTCTGTGAGTATTTCATCGTATAAAATGGCAATAAAACAAAACATTTTTACAAAAATTAGAGACTCCAGCGCGTCTTAAAGCCTAAGAATCCAATTTACTTTTTTATTTTTGATTTCGGAATTATTTTATACGATGAAACCTGTCTGGACACGTTTTATCGTATGAAATGGTTCTAGGGAGGAATATTCAAAAACCAACTGGCATCAAATACATAGTATAGCCTAAAAAAGCAATTATGACCGGACTTTTGTTATTGGTGCCATTTTATACGATGAAACATGTTCACGCGTGTTTTATCGTATAAAATGGCACTTTTTCCTCTAGGCAAGAAAATTCGAATATTTTTGGATTTTTCATGGTTTTCGAAATGGGCTTGGTCTTTTAATAACTTTATATTCGATTGTCTATAACTGGAAAGAACAAAATAATTTTTAGTCATCACTTTCTCTGCCATTTTACTCATTTACCCCTCAAAAAATCTTTTTTTTTGCATGTATCTTAATTTCAAACCACACTTATGTTCCTTACGTTCATTTTTATTTCGATTTGTTTCCTTAGCCCCACATCAACGGCTTTTTCCGCACCCTAAACGGCCAAGTCACCAACCTCGAGCGTTATATGCCGCTTCTGGCCAAAAAACTTGGAGTTACCACCTCCACCACTACCCGCACCACAACTCCTAGGCCCACAAAAGCTGCGAGAAAGTCGAGCATGTCGTCGCGATCGCGTCAAAAGGCATCCTCAACCGAAAGACCTTATACGAGACGAGGTTTGGGGAATGTCGAAAAATGCTGGGATTGCTCTACGGTAACGGTCCAATTAGTGACAGCTACCCCAATGGCGACGCCTATGAGCAAACGGAAGCTGAAGATTGTGAAAAAGCCGAGGAATAACAGGGTTACAACTAAAGATCCATGGGTGATCGAGCTGACCAAGGAGCCGAAGGAGAAATGGCCGAGTATGCAGGTCACCACAAAAGATCATTGGAATCGATTCACCATTGCGACGAGAGCTACCACCAGCCGGCCTCAGGAGAGTCGCCAAGTGCCTAAGGGCAAAGGATTGAGTAAAATTGATAAAAATGGAAAAGAGATCGAGGAAAATGAAACCGCCCAAAAAATTGGCGAAAAATCAAAATCGACTGGTAAATTAACACAAGCCGGAGTTACGGTTACTCCAGAACCTCCTGAGGAACATACTGATGTCAGCACTAATACAAAAATCGATGTGAAAACAAAGGAATATACGAAATTAACAGTGTCCGGGAAGTCCTCGGGCTCCGGCCGTCCGGACATGATTTTGGAGACGAAGCGGACGGTGAAGAACGGTGGCGTTTTAACAGATCTCAAAGGACCTCTGGAGATGTTGAATAAAGCCAAGAACGGATGGACTCATAAAGAAAATCGACCGAAAATCGACTGCCCCGAGAGCAATGTCTCGCCCATCGAAGTGGCCATTGTTTGGGTGGGTGATATACAGTAACAGGGTGACATATGACATGAAGTGTGTGGTAAACCTAATTGTCATGATGTGAACTAACAACGCTTTTGACTTGATGTCCATATTCGGAAAGAGCGATGAGAAAACGAAATTTTTTGAAAAATGATGACATTTGGAGCTGTGGTGAAGAAAATGGATTGGCATGGTAAAATAAGGAACTAATGGAGTTTTATTTGCTATTATAGGACCTTCTAAGGCCCCTATCATCTCTTTAAAATTTCTATTTTGAGTTTGCAGTGCTTGGTTTGTCATTTCCGACCTTGTTTTAGACATCAAGCAGATCAAAGTTGATAGATTTTTTTCTAAAGAAGCAAATTATGTTATGCCATATTATCATAGCGTTTGAATTAGCAGAAAATTATCTTTCAACCCTAAAAATTTCATGCTATACTCTTCAGAACTGAAGAAGTTACGGTTGTTTTTTTCAAAAATCATCCTTTTTGAAAAAATGGCTGTTCGAAATTTCACGACTACTCTAATATAAAGCGCTCTAGAGCCCTAAAATTTATAACGTATACTCTCTACTATATATTCTACTATTTCCAAAAGCTCTGAAGTGATATCTAACATTGTTTTCTTCTAGATTGTCACTCAATTCAAACACAAGAGTAATGTAAGTTCATCTTCTTTGATGTGTAATATCTACCGTTGTAGTGTGTGAAACAGCGTAAAATTTTAATTTAAAATACGCCACAGCATGCTTTCACATCTTTACTAACAATTCTTTACTTTCAGGCCAGTACCGAGTTGATCGAAGCCATTAAAGAGGCGCTTTCAAAGTTCCGAAGCACTCTGACGGCGAGACAAATGGCTCACCAGCCCGAACCGCATGCTGATATTGCCGATTTGGGCAGGGAATTGGAGAACACTTGGACTCAGCTGAAAGATAGTATGTTTGGATTTTAAAAATATGCCTTGCTTTGTCCTTTTTTAAGTTCAAAAATAGCAAAAATTTTGCGAAAAATATTAAAAATCGAATAAAAAATCTGATTTTTCATGCGTAAAAAGAAACAAATAAGATTGTAAAATACGTCACAGGACCAAAGATGTCATTCTTCCTCTAAAAATTTCAAAAAAATTATATTTTTTGGGCTTCTTTTATATTACACTAGATCTGATCCCTAAAATAAGGTCCGAATCCCCCTTTAAACTTTCTCAAACTCTTTCAGGCGGCTTCCTAGAACGTGCCGTGGCCGAACTCGCGTTGTCCGACCCTCAAATCTCCGGGCATGAGGGTATTGACACCGACGCCGCTGCTCGAAAAATCGACGAACTTTGGCGGGAAGCGATGTTGGCATCGGCCGTAGGACAAATGACAGAGCCCGACCCGATCAACCGACCCATGTACGATGACGTCAGAGGATATGAGCAGCCAAAACGGGAAATGGTGGGTGAAATGAGCAAAACATTAATTTAGATGAGGTCTAAAGTAATATTCTTGGATTTTTGGTATTTTTTGGAAAAAATTTTAGTTGAAATGGATCTCAAAAGGCTTCATTAAACTTTCTGAAGTATTTTGAAGGCTTAAAATCCCGTTAAATCTTCCAAAAAAGTTCAAATCCTCAAAAAATCCCAGAAATCCTCAAAAAACACCAAAAATCTTCAAAAAACCCCAAAAATTTACCTCTAAACTTTCAGCCAGTAAACTGTCATCAATTCTCGTTGTTGTGCAAACTACTGCGGCCATTTACAAAGTGAAACCATGATGATTTGTTGTGTATTTATTCATAAATATTTATCAAAAAATAAATAAATACAAAATTTTTTTATACGTCTTAAAGATCACAGTTTTTAAGCAGAATTATGCGGAAGAATTATGATAAGTAATGGGGAGGAGGAGTAGAATTACTCACAAGGTAATAATTAAAGTTTTTTTGGCTTGAAAATCAAGTCAAAAGGCAGGGAGATAAATTATGCGGCCAAATTGGAAATTGTGGAATTACATGGCGATGCTTGGAGATATCATCATCAAATTTTTAGACATTCTATAGTATTCCCAGAGCTATGAATGTATCAAGGTTCATCTAAAAATATTCGAAAACTCGAAAGATATAGCGATTTTTGCACCTACATCAATATATTATACTTGCCCTAGAAAAAAAGCTCAAATCTCAAAATCGACTGGTCCAAATCTCCCCAAATTTTCCACAAATCTCAATGAGGCCCTACTCTATCGCCACATATCTTAGCTTCCCCTAAAACCCGAGGTACCAACGGTCATAGGCCCATCCCAAGCACCCATGTAATCCCTTGAACCTAAAACAATATAACTAGCTTCCATAGGCGCCTATTGTCGTGGTGGCGGAGGTGGTGGTGGTTGTTGTTGAGCATGCTGTTTGGCCTGTTCTTCGCGTTGTTTTTGGGCTCGTAGGAACTCTCCGTAGTCGATGTATCCGTCATTATTGAAGTCGTCTTCTTTTAGAATGGCGTCAATCATTTGCTCCAGCTCTTCTTCAGATGGAAGGGGAGGTGGAGCATGCTGATCGTGTTGGTTTGTGGGGTTCTCTGGAAGATATATTAGTCATTTTGAGCAACAAAATTGTGAATAACATCAAAATTCAAGCAATTTTTGCCGAAACTCGGATTTAATCTGATCATGAATAATATATCTGGTCATAACGCTTCTCTAAAAGCCGAAAACAAAGCAAAAATAGCTTGAAAAGTACCTTGATGGAAGTGGGTAATCGCCTTGATCAATTCCACACCATCTAACCGCCCGTTTTTATCCAAATCATGCATGTTAAAGTAGTGGAACTGCAATTGTTCAGGTGTCATGTTCGCAGTCGGGTCGACTTTGCCCTCCAAATGCTCTTTTATGTGGCTGAAAATGAGGTGAATTATAGATGACCCTTCTCTCTAGCTTATGAGAGTATTTTCGACCTAAAAATAGCAGAAAATAAAAATTATCTTACCCTTCATCCTTGGCCTGTTCTCCTCCGAACGCCGCTTGCGATGGAGCCTGCCCCTGAGGCGGTGGAGGTGGTGGTGGCTGATGATGGACCTCTGGAGGCTTATGCGCATCCTGCCCGGGGAACGAGGGGTTCGAATGCGAGATTATCGACGGAATCAGAAGAACCGATAAAACCCAAACTTTTGGCCAAGCCATCTGAAATTACATCGATTAAACAAAAAAATCGAAGTGAAATCTCAAGCGAATTGTAAGAAACATCATGTGAGCACAATGAAGAATATTTATTAACCTGCACCGACCACTTCCACGTGTTCGGCTGCCCGAAGAGGCCTCGAGAAAGAGGGCTGCGCGAGAAATTCGGAACCGCAAACTCGAAAAGTCGAATAACCGATATGAAAAGCGCTTAAATTTGAGTAAATCACAGGTAAATACAACTGCTATTACTTCTAATTTCTTGTAGCAACAGGTACAAGTTGGAAGTTATCGGGAATTTGACAATTTTCCGAAAAATCTCAATTTGCGTCAAGTGTGGCCCCGAAACTAACTACAAGGTGTCAAGTCTCACCCTGCATGTTGTTTTTTCATTTTCTTATGTCGACGTAGAGCTCGTTCCCGAAATAGATCATGAATGGTGTTATTGATATAAGAATTATCGATTTTTTACGAGGTTTAATTATATTATACATGATATTAAATTTGCGATTTTAATTTTTTTCTTTTTTATTGCTGTTTCCATGACGTCACCTTATTGATCATCCTCTAATTTGGTCAATTGAGATGTATTTTGCTTCTAATAGCAAAATAAGCCTTGTATTAGCGAGTTTCAGCAAACAATTTTTGGCGTTTGACGATCTTCACCATTTTTTATCTAAAGCAATATAAGGTTTCGCTGATTTCGCCCTTTCTAGGTTATCACACCACCCGCACTTCCACACTCAATCTTCGGAACCGGAAAGCGCCGAATCGAACGCTTTTCGGTGCGAGTTATTCGAGTTTTATGAATTTTGCCAACCAACCCGGCATCGTTCGTCGCAAAAACCCGCATCAGACCGAGGACTTTGTTTCGCATCAACAAAATCAGTTTGTCGAAGAGCCCAAAGTACACGGAAGTAACGTACCCATCGCTTCTCAATTCACACAGTTCACGCAGAATTTCTGGAATACCGCCCATGTAGGTGTTTTGAAATTGTTTTGTTGAATTTTAGGTGAAAACATGGTTGGAAGGAAGGGATTGTTGTCTTAAAAGAAAGAGAATTAAGTCGTTCTACTATTTAGAAGGATAAAAATGACAGAAATAGTCAAAGCATTGTCTACAATCACGAAACATGTTGTGTTACCCATGAGGTCTGATGGGTTTAGAGAAACGGCTGTAGAAGACAAAATATTTGCTCAAAAATTACGATTTTTGGCCCATAGAATACTGAAACCGTTCTCTTGAAGCTACATAAGTTTCGTTAACTTTTATCCATTCATTTTGCGACACCAACCTTGTTTATCTTCACCTTCAATATTTGATAAAAAAAAATTTTTAATCCAACAATTTTTGAATGTAACCCCCTCAAAATAGTAAAAAAAAAAAACGCGGACTAATAAATTTTCCACCCTCCGCAAGCTGAAACGTAAAAGATTGAGGTAAAACGAATGGAGTTTTTCGAGATTTTTATCTCACTTTCTCTCAAAAAGGGAAACTATAAACGTGGAATTTTGGGAGGAGATTTCCCCGCAAATAACGCGTCTTTCTTCGTACACCGCTTTTACGAAAGCTCGAATTTGATGTGAATTTTATTTTAATTTTGTTTACAGACTCATATCCAGTCGTTGACTGCGGAGCCGGGCCAATTCCGACAGCCGACACCAGTTCAGGTCGAGGAAGTTGAAGTGATCCCGATCGAGTGCGTTGAAGTCATGCCGCATACGGATCGGACGGCGGAATTCCGCACTGTCGCCAAGAGCCGACAGGTGAGTAATTTTTTTGGATTGTGATTTGAAAATTTAGGAATTTTATATTACCCATGAGGTATTGAAGAGAATTTTGAATTTTTGATGGATATTGTTTCAGATGCGGATCCAAGCTCAGAACAAGACCTCTGGGGATCGAGATCGACTAATTCAATCGCAAATTCAGTTCAATCAACTGGCAAAGTGAGTCTTTGAACTTTTTTTCTTTGATTTTTAGGCAGAAGAAAATGATCAAAAAAAATTATTTGAAAGGTGATGGTAAAATGGTCTAGATATTTTATAGATAATCGAGCTATTTTCCTTCAAAAATCACTAGGATTTGAACGAAAGCGCAGTAATTTATAGGTCTGATATTATAGTAGGTATCAAGTTATCGAATTTTAGCAAAAGTGTTGAGTTTTCATGAAATTGGAAAGGATTTTTATGTTAGATATGTAGTACATAGTCAACATGACGCTGTCTAAAAATTTGAACCCATTTTGTTCACCCATCACAAAGATATTTACGTTTTTCTCCACCCCTTCCATCAATTTTGGATGTTTATTACACGTGGACAAAAATGAACCAAACTGAGGCATAACCCTTATTATTTTGATATGAAGAGACGTAATGGGTTTTCAATAAAATATTTAAATTCGATTTGACGTAATGCTTTCCCGTTTTCAGGCGGATTGGCCGCGATCTTTGCCGAACATGCGCCAAAATGGAGAAATTGGCCGAGTTGGCGAAGAAAAAGTCGCTGTTCGACGACAGCGCCACCGAAATCAACGAACTCTCACATATCATCAAACAGGTAGGGCCATAAACTTTATTTTAATACCATTTTCGCTTGGAGTTTTGAGATTTTTCAACCTTTTCCGTCCATTTTTTCTTCAGGATATCCATGGATTGAACGGGCAGATCGCAACCCTCCAACAACTGATGAAAAGCCGTCAACAGACGGCGGAGCAAAGCCAAAACCACTCCAAATTGGTTGTGGTGGGGCTGCAGAGCAAATTGGCCAACTTGGGAAACAATTTCCAGTCGGTTCAGGAGATTCGAACTGAAAGTTTGAAGCAAAAATCCAAGCGAAGAGAGAAGTATAGCCAGTCCAACAATGTGTCATATGGCCTACCACCCAATGGAGGTAAAATTTGGCACGAAGGACGGAAAGGTCCGCTGCGCGGAAAGGTCCGCTGTGCGGAAAGGTCCGCTAAAAAAAAGAAAAGGAGGGCGGGGAGGGGAGGGGGGAGGTTTTCGAAGGCGCTGATTTCGAATATCGTATCCATTTTTTCTGAATCTTACAATTTTGCTTAGGCAGTAGTGTTAACTAGTAATTTTTAAAAAAAGACGTAAGTTATATTGTACTTGGTGTTTTGATTTTTAGGTGTGACTAGTCTCGAAAAAATTTTTTTTTGAAATGTTTTCGCTTCGAGACTTGAAAAAAAGGATTTTTTGTGAAATTTGAAAAAAAATTGAAATGTTTTCTCTTCGGGATTGGGAAAAAAAAAGAATTTTTTGGAAAATTCAACAAAATTTTGAAATCTTTTCGCATCGGGAGTAGAAAAAAGGGTGTCTGACTGGATATTAACTGTGGTGCCGCCAGCACTAAAATTTTGTCTAAAACCAATGGTACCACCTGGTACTTTTTATAGTACCACGTGTTTTTGGGCTCTACTAGCACCAAACCATCACCATTACTGCCTTACGGCCAAATTTTCACTTCTCACTAAACAGTACCAGTTGGTACTATATAGTACCAAGTGTTAAAACGTGTTTTTGGGTTCTACTAAGCACCAAACCAACGCCATTACCGCCTTACGGCCAAATTTGCACCTCGTACTAAATAGTACCAGGTAGTACTATTTAGTACCAAGTGTTAAAAATGTGTTTTTTAAGCAGTACTAGGCACCAAAACAACACCATTAACGTCTAAAAGTGTTATAAGTCGAAAAAATTTCAACAAGAATCCCTAAAGGTAGTAAAGTAACAGAAACCCAGTTTTCATATTCAGTCAGTTCATACTCAGTCAGCTCGAAAAAATTTCTAATTTTATTCAAATTTCACAAAAAAATCCTTTTTTCCAAGTCCCGAAGCGAAAACATTTCAAATTTTATTCAATTTTCACAAAAAATCCTTTTTTCCCACCCTCTTCTTTTCCTTTTTTTTAGCGGACCATTCCGCACAGCGGACCTTTCCGTCCAGCGGCCCTTTCCGCACAGCGGACCTTTCCGTACTCAATCAAAATTTGGAGCGGTTTTGAGCGAAAAAAGTGAAATTTTGGAAGCTAGGGCGCAGACTGCCAACTTGATTTTTGAGAGTTTTTGAGACAAAAGGGGAATTTTAGTGGTTTATTACAGGTTTTAGAGCTTACTGAGTAGTTAGGAAGGTTTATGGAAGGTTTTTTGACCTAAAAAAGTGAAATTTTGGAAGCTAGGGCGCACCCTGCCAACTTGATTTTTGAGACAAAAGTGAAATTTTAGTGGTTTATTGTAGGTTTTAGAGCCTACTGAGTAATTAGGAAGGTTTATGGAAGGGTCTTGACCTAAAAAAGTGAAACTTCTCAAGCTAGGGCGCAGCCTGACAACTTGATTTTTGAGATTTTTTGAGATAAAATGGAAATTTTAGTGGTTTATTGGAGGTTTTAGAGCTTACTGAGTAATTAGGAACATTTTTGAGCGGAGTTGGACGATTGGGGAAACCAAAAAGTATTATTTTTCTTCGATGCAAGTGCCGAAATTAGGATAATCGAGGGTTCTGATTTCAAAAATGGCATTCATTTTTTTGATCTTTACTTTTTTCTTTAAGTAGTACTGTAAAGTAGTAATTTTTTGATTTTTTTCACAAGTACTCGATTTGGCGGGTTTCGATGGTGCTGATTTCGAAAATCTTATTCATTTTTCTGACAGCACCATCGAAAACCCCCAAATCGAGTATTCATAAAAAAAATTACTACTTTAAAGTACTGCTTAAGGAAAAAAATAAAGATCAAAAAAATTGAATATCGTTTTTGAAATCAGCACCCTCGATTATCCTAATTCGGCACTTTCATCGAAGAAAATATTACTTATTGGTTTCCCAATCGTCCAGCGCCGCTCAAAAACTTTTCTAATTACTCAGTAAGCTCTAAAACCTCCAATAAACCACTAAAATTCCCTTTTTATCCCAAAAAATCTCAAAAATCAAGTTGGCAGGCTGCGCCCTTGCTTGCAAAATTTCACTTTTTTCGGTCAAAACCCTTCCATAAACCTTCCTAATTACTCAGTAAGCTCTAAAACCTCCAATAAACCACTAAAATTCCCCTTTTTATCCCAAAAAATCTCAAAAATCAGGTTGGCAGTCTGCGCCCTAGCTTGCAAAATTTCACCTTTTTTCGCTCATAACTCCTCCAAATCAAAAATTATATTACTTTAGGCTCATCCTTGCTAATGGAAGACGAACAACGAGCGCAAGGAGGCCCGGTATCGGTGGATATGGAGAGAATACAGGCGCAAGATCAAATGCTCCTCATTGATGAGTCGGAGCAGTACCATCAATCGAGGTACAACGCAATGGAAAGCATTGAGTCCTCGATAACGGAAATTGGGCAAATTTTCAATCAATTAAGTCAGCTGGTAGCGGAACAAGGCGAAACTATCATACGGTAAGGAGTGAAGAGGCATTTGCAGGACGAAAAAGGAGGTTTTGGGCCTTTTTTCTTGACTTTTCTTGAGTTTGAATCAGTTTTTGACCTAAAATAAGGTCGAAAAGTCAAGAAAGTTGGATTTTGTGGGGTTGAATTGTAAGATATAGATTGGATTTGTTTCAGAATTGACGACAATGTGGAACAGGCCACCCTGAACGTGGAAGGCGCCCACTTGGAGCTCCTCAGGTACTTCAATAACATCTCCAAGAACAGATGGCTCATGCTCAAAGTATTCGGCGTCCTGATGGCCTTTTTTGTCTTCTTTGTGGTCTTTTTAACATAATTAACTAGATGGGAAAAAATCCCGTGGAATAGAGGAAAATTGGGAGAGCTATGAGTAGTATATTGTAGTAGGTGGGGTCGGAAGAAAATTTTAATTTTTTGAAAGTTTTGGGGGGAAATTCAGGGGGTTTGATGTTAATAATTATAGAAAATAGCTTGTAAAGTAATCTGTAAAAGTTTTATACGAATTTGAGTTTCCTGAAAAGTCGAAATTTGAGATTTTTTAAAGTTTTTAGCGTTTTTTCTCGATTTTTGGTCGTTTTTTTGAAATTTCGGAAGATTTATATCAAATACTACTTGTATCTCTCCTATTAATGTCTAGTGAATACTGTGAAAAAATTATATTATATATCGATACGCCTTGAATGACATTTTAGACCTGTAAAATACGAATTTTACCCAAAATTCCCTGTTTTTTGAAAAATTTCGCCAATTTTTTGGTCCCCACCCGAGTTACACCCCCGAAATGGAAACCCAAATGTGATATACGGGTTCGACAACATGTAGAGCGTCCCTCTCCTAACATTCTGTTTCACAAACACCTGGAATATCGGACTTTTGGCTAGTTAACTGGTGATATATTTTAATTTATTTATTTCGCCTCGAATAAATGAGTATATTGAATGGAATTGCTGCAGTTTTTTGGTGCATTATAACTGTTGAAGACAGTGGAATATTGATTTTGATGGTTTTTGGGAGTTTTGAAATTTTGATATTTTGGAATTTTTGGGATTTTTTTGAATTTCATGTTGTTTTAGGCAAGTTTTTGGTGGAAAATGGCTTAAATTGGGCGAATTGAGGGGTTTTTGAGGTGTTTTAGGATGTTTTAGACGATTTAAAAAAAAATTTTATTTTTTTTTTGAAAATTTTGGGGTTTTTTTTGGTTTTTTGACTATTTTTTGTAAAGAAATTGCTCTAATTTGGATAGCCAGAGAAATTTCAGAAGTTTTGATATTTATTTTATTATATTTTAAGCTCTTTTCACCTTAAATTTGAGATTTTTCCCCAAAAAATTCACTTTTTCCTCAAAAATTTCAAAAAAAAACCCGATTTCTCAAGTTTCAGGTCTAAACCAGCCCCGGTGTTTCCCCCGATTAGCCCGTTTTGATCTCCCCTCTCCGAACCGAAGAATGGCGCGGATCACGCCGGCAATGGTGGTGATCACCAGCCTGATCCTGACCATCTTCACCGTCACCAAGGCGTTCATGATGAAAAAACAGTTCTACCCGTCGGTGGTGCACCTCACCAAGGACGGAGGAAGCATGGCTGTAAGTGTTTTGGAGTTTTTTTTTTGATTTTTAGGAAGTTTGGACGAAAAGTATCCAAAAGTATCAAAAGGTTTCAAGGATAACTTTTGAGGAATTTTGAGGGTTTTTTGATGGAATTTTGAGGCGTTTGGGGTATTTTGATGAAATGAGCTGAGGAAATTGATTTTTAGGTCCTCTACTTTCAAGGAGCGGTCTTGGGATACCTTTTGTTCACCTTCTTCCGATGGATCTTCTTTGGTCAGCTGAGAGTTGCGGAAACGGAGGTAAGTCCTCGAATTTTGGGGCTAAAATGTTATTGAAATTAAGAATTATGATATGTGCAACGTTTTCTGATACTTTGCAGTTGATTTTTTCGATTAAATTTTGAGTTTTAGCAAATTTGACGAAATGTCACAAAAATTATTGGATTTTTAAAATGCGAGAATTGTTTGATAATAAGCTTATTTTGATGAAAAAATGTATGTTTTTCATTGTGTGTCGCTTTTGGCGAATTTGACGAAATGTCACAAAATTTATTGGTTTTTGGAATTTTAAAAAAATGACCAAAATTTGGAAAGATAGTATAGAAATTGGTTACAAATCAATTTTTCAGCACGCCCTCGACCGATTCTGGCACGCCATCGTGGAGACTTGCCTCGCGTTCACCGTTTTCCGCGACGATTTCTCCCCGAAATTTGTGATCCAATTCGTGGTCCTCTTCTTCTTCAAAGGCTTCCATTGGCTGGCCGAGGACCGCGTCGACTTCATGGAACGATCGCCCCTCATCACGTTCCTCTTCCACGCCCGCATCATGGGGATTGTCGCGGTGCTGGCCGCCGTGGACTCGTATTTCATCTCAAACGCCTATTTTACGACCATTATGAGAGGCGCATCGGTTCAAATTGTCTTTGGATTTGAGGTAAGGAGTGGTTTATTGTGGTGGGAGGAGATTTTGGTTCGAATTTTGCCGATTTTTTTGGAGAAATGAGGAATTTGACGAAATGTCACAAAAATTATTGGGTTTTTTAATTTGATGGAGATTGGTTTTTGATGTTGGAAATTGTTGTTTGAGTGTTTATTTTTGTGTTTTGCAACTTTTTGGAGATTAGACGAAATGTCACAAAAATTATTGATTTTTTGAAAATTGATGTAGGTTGGTTTTTTATGCTGGAATTTGTTGTTTGAGTGTTTATTTTTGTGTTTTGCAATTTTTTGGAGTATAGACGTAATGTCACAAAAATTATTGATTTTTGGAAAATCAAGTTTTGATGCGATTTTTTTAAGTATGCCATCCTGCTGACCATGATCTTCCACATTGCGATGAAGTATCTGCTGCATATGCACGACCTGCGCTCCGCCCACCCATGGGAAGCGAAAGCCGTCTATATGCTCTACACCGAACTGGTCATCACCGTCCTCCGCTGCCTCCTCTACCTCTGCTTCTGCATGGTGATGATGAAACTGCACACTTTCCCCCTGTTCGCCATCCGCCCCCTCTACCTCACGTTGAGGTCGCTGAAGAAGGCGATCAACGACGTCGTGCAGTCGCGCCGCGCCATCCACGCCATGAACACGCTGTATCCGCTGGCCACGGAGCGCGAACTCACCGATGGCGACAATATCTGCATCATTTGCAGGGAGGAAATGACCCTCGATGCGGGCCCCAAAAAACTACCTTGTGGCCATATTTTCCATCCAAACTGCCTTAGGTCGTGGTTCCAGCGACAACAAACCTGCCCCACATGCAGAACGGATGTATTGGGAGGTAAGGGTTTGGAGAAGAAAGTGAAATTTGGAGATTTTTGAGTGCGCAGCTCGCGCCCTAGCTTGGTGAAAAGTGAGGCGGAAAGACGGGATTTTTGGATTTTCCGAGATATAGAGATGTCAGTAATTCATGAAAAAAACGTATTTTTTCGTATTTTACGGTTTTGCGGATTTTTTCATTTGGCAGCTCGCGCCCTAATTTGGTGAAAAATGAGGCGGAAAGACTGAATTTTTGGATTTTTCTGGCTGTAGAGATGTCAGTAACGCATGAAAAAACGTGTTTTTTCGTATTTTACGAGTTTGGCGAGTTTTTCATTTGGCAGCTCGCCCCCTAGCTTGGTGAAAAGTGATGCGGAAAGACGGGATTTTTGGATTTTCCGGACCGTAGAGATGTCAGTTGTACAGAAACAACTTATTTTTTCGTATTTTACAATTCTGCCTAGTTTTTCATTTGGCAGCTCGCGCCCATAATTTCGAGTAAAATTTGAAATTTATGCGGATTTTAAGGGGAAAATAGAGGATTAACAGAATACAGAAATGTATTCGAGATTTTAAAAATTTTTAATAGGGATTTTATGGCACGCTGCACCCTATAAAATCTATTTTTGGCGAAATTTGGAAAAAATAAGGCTGAAAAATTATTGTTTTAGTTCTAAAGTAAAATTTAGAGGGAGATAAGTTATGGTTTTAGCGATCCCGAGAGCCGCCCAGCCCCAAAACCCGGCCCAGCCCCCGCTTGACGGCGGAATTGCGGCTTTCTTGGCCAATGTTGGACTCCCTCAGTTCCAGGCAGCCCAACAACAACGCCTCCTCAATCAGGCCAATAATGCACAGCCGAATCCCGCCCAACCTCAGGTCAACATGGATGGAAACCAGTTGAGAGTCAATCTGGGACAAATCTTTGGCGGAAACGGCCCTCAAATGCAAATCATTGCTGGAGTGGGCGCACAAAATCAGCCACAGCCACAAAATCAACCGCCAAATGGGGTAAGGAGAGAGTGTAGAAGGGAGTAGGAGCGATTTGGAGCCGAGACTGGGGATTTGAAACGGAGAAAATAGGGAAAAAGTTGGCTTTGCAGGCAGTGGGACTCGAACCCGCAACCTTTTGAGTGATAGGTTCGGAAAAAATCCACTTGACTATTGAAGCACGGCTCGGTTTTTTGACGGGTTTTGGCCGGAAATGAAGGAAAAAGGAGTGGAAATGGAAAAAAATTGAATGGAAATTGTATTTTAGGGATAAAAAAATTATTGGAAGGGGAATTTGGGGGGTGTTGATGCTTTTTTGGACATTTTTTGGGATTTTTTGAGTTTTTTTTGGGGTTTTCGAAATTTTGATGGATTTAAAACTGTAAAAAAGCGTATTTTACTAGCAATATTTTGGGTATTTCAAGATTTTTTGGAATTTTTTGATTTTTCAAAAATTTTTTTTTGGGTTAAAAATGGCGAAAATGACTGATTTATAGCAAAGGAAATTTAAAAACGTGTTTTATGATTCGTATTTTAGCCCTTCGTCTTCCCCACACCGCATCCATTCCCGGCGCCGCCCACTTTCCACGGCCTCACCGATGTTGAAGTGGCTCAACTCGAAGGCCAGAATCGAGCCGCCATTGAGGCCAGAATCCAAGCCCTGTACAATATTCACACCCTCCTCGAAGCCGCCACTCTACAGTTCCAGCAATATATCGCTGTTGCGCCAACCATCCCGCCAGCCAATTTCCCCCAACCGACGGAAGAGAATAATAATGGAAATAATGGTGGTAATGGCGCAGCGAATGGGGAAAGTAGTGGCCCCCAGCCACAAGAAGACCCTCAGAGAGAAGCAGAGGGAGTTTTGACACCCGACAATCAACCAGGACCAAGTAGTGGAACGGGTTTGAACAGTGATGTCAAGGAGAATATAAAGGTCGAAAAGTTGGAAAAGACGGAAAGCAAAACGACCCCTGAGGCGGTCAGGTAAATTTTATGACAGATTACGGCATTTAAGAGATTTTGGAGGCATTTTGAGCGATTTGGAGGGGTTTTTGAATGTGCGAGCTGCGCCCTGGCTTAGTCTCGGAACGCCGCCGCGCGCGGAGGAAAAGCTTGAAAAGTTTCTAAAAAGTGTGGAATAGGATGGAAATTGAGTTTTATTTTATTTTTTCGGTGAATTTTTATTTTACCGGAGTGATATTGTCGTATTTTAGCCCCGATGCTGGCACCCCAGTGGATTCGCCTCAACCCTCCCACAATGAAGAGCTCCGTCGTCGACGACTGGCCGCCTTCGAACGCCAACTGAATGATGAGAACGCAGCCTAATTTATACGCCCAAATATCTTATTTATACTAGTAATAAATTGGCTTTTAGATATAAGATATTATTCGTATGTAGGTAATGTTTGTTGATGAGAGATTTTAGAGAAGTTATGATTTTTTGACAGTTTTTAATCCATTTGTAGTCGATTTTATTTATTTCCCGCCAAAATACGACAAATTTACACTATGTACCTCAATAGTCTAGTGGTTTGATCTTGGACCTATCAGTCGAAAACTCGCGGGTTCGAATCCCACTGTCGGTAAATCGATTTTTCTTCGAGTTTTTGGTTTTTAAAATGTTAAAAAGGCTTTTAAAAGTTATTTTAATAGATGGAGAGAATATTTTAAGAAAAAATTTTGCCAAGTTTAACCATTTGTTTGGGAAATCCCGCAAAAAATCGTCTAAAATAAGGTCAAATAAGCTTTTTGCTTCAGTTTTGAGTTCCTAGCAGTGACGGCGCGCTGCAGTCTCATTCCGCGACCCACTCAGAGATACAGAAATCCCATTTTTATCATCTGAAGACGAAGTTCCAACTGATTTTTGAGGTGAATATTCACCTTGTGAAAACAGCCTAGAATATAAAAAAAAATTATAAAAATTATCCAAAGAAAGTTTTTTTACGCAATGTTACATCATTTTACAGCCCTTTCTAGCTATTTTTGAGGTGAAATCGGCGCCACCCTAGTATGTGTCCCAATAGTCTAGTGGAATTTTGCAAAGTCTGTCAGTCGGAAGGTCCCGAGTTCGGGTCTCGGTGCCGGCGCAAAGTTTTTCTTTATTGTGAGGGTTCGTTGTACAGAGGTTTCGGCTCTAAGATTTGAAAAGCTCTGTACAACGAACCCGTTTTATAACAACAATACTCATCAATTTTAGCTCAAACACCAAGAATAAAAATAATTTTTTGAGTTTACGTATTATCTTATACCATGGTAAAATTCGACAATTTGATTAGTTCATTACTTCTAATGTTAATTATACATCATTTTTGGACCAGAAAACAACTTCTAATTTCGCAAATTCCGGCTTCATTACCATTTTTTGACAAGTCAAGCGGATGTGCTCAAAATAGAGGTCCGAATTTCAATGAGGTTGGCAGCTTCGAGAATTTTTTCTGGCCTTATTCGCGTTTTTTTCAATTTGAAATTATGCATTTTACGAATTTCGAGGAAATTTTTTGCACAGTGCAAAATTCATTTTTAATCGCACCGTGCGAATAAAATTTTTTTCGCACGGTGCAGTTTGTCGACAATTTTGCACGGTGCAAAATAAAATTTTTTGTCTGCACTGTGCGGTTTGTCGCAAACTTCGCACAGTGCAATTTTTTCGAATTGTGCAATCTGTCGCCGTTTTCGCACGGTGCGCTCAGTTTGTCGCAAACACTGCACAGTGCAAATTTATTTTTCACTGCACCGTGCGATGTTTTTTCCGCAACGTGCAGTTTGTCGCTAACTTCGCACTGTGCAAATTTTTTTGACCGCACCGTGCAGTATGCCATCGATTCTGCACTGTGCAAAATTTGTCGCTAACGCTGCTCTGTGCAAAAGACTATTTTTGGCTGCACCGTGCAGTTTATTGCCAATTTCATAAGTTCTTTACGTTCAGTTTGTCGCAAACTTTTGCACCGTGCAAATAATCTGTTTCGTCCGCACTGTGCAAATTTTGTCGCTAACTTTGCACTGTGCAAAAATCTATGTTCGACCGCACCGTGCAGTTCTTTGCTAATTTTGCACTGTGCAAATTTTGTCGCTAACTTTGCACTGTGCAAATTTTGTCGCTAACTTTGCACTGTGCAAATTTTGTCGTTAACTTTGCACTGTGCAAATTTATTTTTTACCGCACCGTGCAGTATGCTGTCGATTTCGCACCGTGCAAAAAATATTTCCGCTGCACCGTGCAATCCAGAACTTTATTTCGCACATTTCTTGCTCATATTCCATTCGAACTGCCCTCGTTGTTTCTCACTTCCATACTCGATTGCAAGCAAGTACATACAAAATTCGTCTGTGAATAATTACCGCGGGAAGTTGAATGGCTTCTGTAAATGCTTTTTATTTTGCAGGCCCAGTGCAAGTAATCTGCTATGAAAAGTATATAATAGATTACTTGCTTGTTTATGCACAACACCTCAATAGATTGGTGGTTAGCCAGACAATGACATTACCAAATATTAATTCTTAAACAAGATAGTATTATATAAAGACGCTCTCTCGACTGACCTTAAGCCATTTCTTTTAGACTTCGCGTTTGAGGGTCTTCTTATTCTGAAATCGAGCTCAATTTGACTGTAATGTCAATTCACGTCAACCTATCGGTCTGTCGGGAAAATAACGGCGGATCGTCGCGTCAAAATGTCTCGCCTCGCCGCTATCGCGCACCAAATCCCCGGCCGCGGCTTGAATCGCAAACCGATAAAGGGCGATTCCGAGGCGCGACAATCCGCCGTTATTTTCCCGACAGACTGATATAATCACTCATTCCAACTGATCCGTTCGCAAAGTGGCTGGACCGATTTTCGCGACATGCACTGTGCGAAAACAGAGATTCTTCCTGCACTGTGCAGCTTTTTGCTTTTTGCACTGTGCAATTAGCTTTTTGGCTGGCGCTGGCACCTTGACCTTTTCCGCACAGTGCAAACATGCAGTGCGAAAAAAATTGAAATCCCGCACTGTGCGAGAAAATAAAAAATTTTGCACTGTGCAGTGAAAAAATTTTTTGCACAGTGCAAAAATCAAAATTCCGCACAGTGCAAAAATCCAAAAAATTCGCACAGTGCAGTCAAAAAAAATGTTTGCACTGTGCAACAGGATAAAAAGTGCACTGTGCAACAGGACAAAAAGTGCACCGTGCAAAAAAAAATTTGCACTGTGCAAAAAAAGCAAATTCAAAATTTCGCAAAGTGAAACAATTTTTTAAAACAAAAAAAAAAATTTTTTAAAGAATTCTCAAGTCAAAAATGACGCAAACGACAAAAACTGGACCCAAACAGCCCTTACCAATTACGGCCCAACATCATCTTCACTCCCATTTCGAATACCACTCACATTTTTTCATTTCCTATGAACAAAATGACACATCTTGAATGTCCCCGAGGGCCGCGTTTCGAAGCAAATCTTGTTTGTTTTTGTTGTTCAAAATAATGCCAGAGGGGTTGGAAATTAATTTTGGTTCGAGATTTGGGAAATTATTTTGGGTTTGGGGGAGCTCATAAGTCTGTTGTACGGTGCGAAATTGAATTTTTTTTACTGCACTTTTTTCACTGACGAGGCAAGTACTCCAAGTGCGAGGCTCAGATTTTCTTTAAATTTTGCACACGCGTCGGGCATAAACTAAATATCGATTCCTGAAAGTTTTAGCTCGCGCTTTGCGGGCGCCGCCGAGATATCGGACGATTTCTGCCGCCGAGAGAGCACGCTAAACGTGGAGAGCGGTCAAAGAGAAAAGCGCTTTTTGGCCATAACTTTGGCAGTTTCGTGCGGAAAAATTTGATTTTTTGTAGAAACATTATTCTTTACAGTAGACATAGGCTTGAAAATTTCAATGCCAAAATTCGGCAAAAAGTCCTAAATTTTCGTCGACTTTCGATCTAAAAATGTCGGTTGTTTCTGCAAAGCGCGAGCTAGGATTCTCGCATATATCTTAGAAAAAAATATTCTAATTTTGTGCCAAGTTTCATCCAAATCTGAGTAAAATGATTTTTTTGTCTGCACTGTGCAGATTTTTTTATTTTTTGCACGGTGCAAAATTTTTAATTTTTCTTTTCGCACTGCAAAATTCACTACGAAAATTATCACGATTTTTTGCCACGAGTAATACAAAATGCTATAAAAAAATTTTTCCCTCATTTTGTTTTACTGTATCTCCAGTTTTCCAAGAAGATTAAACTTTATTTATGTATCCCACCGTATCCATTTCTGTTTCAATTTCCGTTCTTCTTCTTTGCTCGTTAAAAGATGGCTGATTAAAGCTTCATTTCCTAAACTTTTTTTTGAATCAACCTTTGGACGTTTTGATGACAAAAAAAAACAAAAATAAAAAAGGTTTCACTTTTGTTTTGAAACGCTACAAAGAAAGCCCTGAAAATCTGGCGCGAGCTGAAAAATTTTTAAACAGCCATAACTCTATGGCCAAGTTTTAAAATTTAAGATGATTTCGTTAAAAAAATCCGCATAGGCTATGAAGCAAGCGCTGCGGGTTTTGGATTGTCTTTTGCGGAGGCAGCCGCGATATTCAAGACTCGTTGTGCTAATCAATGATTCATTGATTAGACGGATGTGAGCCGTAATTTTTCAGTCCAGACTTCGCTGCAGACCGTGGGAACGAACCCTTCCTCGTGGGGTCTCCTTTATAAATACGATGAGGGAAAGTGTTCGCATATGTAACATTGCTAATTCGCTAATTCAAATTCCATTTACTGTAACTACTCGTTCCATAAAGTTTTTCGCGGCGCTACTATTTTTTTTGCACTATGCATACGTTGTCACGCGCCCAAAATGCGCGGCCAAGTAGTTGAAAAAAAGGCTTACGCTAAAAGACATAATAAACAATTTTTTCAGCCACTGTAAGCCGATAGGATTACTGTAACATACCTAAAATCTTGGGTTTTTTCCAAAACTGGGCTAAAATAAACATTTTTGCTGATTTATATTACAAATCCCTGTCAAATCAGCTGAAACTTTCTATATTTACTCTACGTGGCCCGACAAATAATTTTGTAAGCCACTGTAAGTCGATAGGATTACTGTAACATACCAGAAATCTCAGTTTTTGACTGAAAATGGGCTAATATTGATAAGAAGTAAGCTCCGAACTCGACTTTTTGGGGCCGGGCCGAGGAATTTTACTGAACCTTGGGCCCAGCCCCTTTTCAAAAAAACATTTTCTCTTCAGTCGCGATGAACAAAAACCTTAAAAAAAATGGTGACAGAAGGTGTTATATTAACACTGTTCGATATTCCTCACGAAAAACGGACCGTAAGAGACATTCCAGGGTAATTTCAGACAA